TGAGGCAGAGGGACAGGAGGCAGCTGATGGCCAGGGGCACTGACTCCTGCCACATGTGCAGCTTGGCTCTCTTGCTCTGTCTGGTGCTTACCTGCCACCACTGCCCCTGGGCAGAGCACAGCACCAGAGGACCAGGCTTGAGGGAAGGAGTCTGTCTTAAGCCCAAGTTGCAGCTCCCTGTTCTCAGCCAATGTCTGCTCCAGATGTCACCCTTTGGGCTTCCAAGGAATAGTAAAGCCCTGTTTTTGTGAACTCTCCTCTACTACTCATTTGTTTTTCTGGAAGACAGTGCTCTCTCAGCCTAAACCAAACATGAGCAACTTAAACCATGGGGCAAAGAAGTTTAAAACTCTTTAAATTTTCCTGTAAATATGAGGACCACTGCCTTTGTTCCAATACGTTTCTGTCACTCTAAGGGCTGAATCTAAGCTTCCATAGACACTTCTTTACCCTTTTCTGCTGGTTTCCAAACCTCCCCTTTCCTGAGAACACAAGTGCTGATCAGACCCTTCGCGTTGCATAAAATAACCACCACAACACGTGTGGGATCTCTGTGCTCTCAGTCCATTGGCAGGGTTTCCATGGCATCATGCACTGCTGCACTTCGCTGCCGCTGGATCTGAAACACCTGAACCTTGAGCCAGCAGCATGCAGACTTGGCCTTTTTACCATATTTCTCTTCCCAAAACAGAGCCATCCCCGCCAAGCATAAGCGGACACCCCAGTGTAGGGCAGAGGCTGCCCTGGGCAGGGGACCTGTGCCCAGACTCACCACTGCAGAGAAGGGAACTCAGGAGCACGGCTGCTCGTAGCAGCATTCCCATCCTTTCCAGGCTGCGGCCACTCCCTTCTCCAGCTGGACTGACCTGCACTCCCCAAGCTGGAGTAAATCAGGAGCACTTCCCTGCCCTTGCTCACTCTGTCACAAATGTCCAGGACAACGGCTGGTGTTTTTTCCTTCCTCTTTTTCAGAAAACAAGTGTCTCAGTGCCCACTGTCAGAGGTGTGGGCAGACAACGGAAGCCCTAAGGGAGGGTCAGAAGAGGAAAGTTCAAAAATTACTTCTCCTCTATTTCATATTTCCTGCTGAGTATGCTTTACCCCCCTTCTGGTTTTTAAGTTATTTTTTAAAATGTTTTCCTTTGTTTCTTTTTATTCCTAAGCAACTATTTCTTTCTCTTTTCCTCCTTGCATTGCTTTCTGGCGAATAAGCTTTAGCAGGCACGTTACACACACTCAGGTCTGAGAGAGAGCTCATAAGGAGCTGAACCACGAAGGTCCTCACAATTCACTTTCTCACCAGCTTCTCTGGGACACCCACCACTGTGTTTTAAGTTAAAATTCATGAAGCAGCCTAAATTTTCACATTACCAGTGTGAAACAGATGATCATCATAGGCCCCTTCCAACAGAAATGTTCTGTATCACTGTATCACATTTAAGAGATGGGGAATCCAGGTATACAAATCTAAAACCAAAAAATTCCCAAGAACTGCAGAGACCTGGGCTGCCCATCCCACTCCTTCTCACAGGTGGAGCTTCCCTTCTTACAGAGCAATTTAACTGCTTGGTTTAATTGATTAATTGCTTTCAATTACAAGCCCTGATTTGGGCCATGTGCCTCTGCAGTGCCCTCAGACTACTTGGGAAACAGGTGAATATGTAGATGCCCAGAGAGAAAAAAAGGAACTTGTCAATGCAGAAAATCTTTGACACCCTGAAATTGTGGCTTCTCAACTGTAATGAGGTAATATTAAACAGAGTTTATAGTTAATCTATATAATTCAGTAATTGAGCCTGAATTAGTCCTGTCTAGAAGTATCTGTTTTCTACTGAAATATTCTTTTGAGGGATTTTACTGTCTTTTGCTGTCTTCTACAGCTCTCGATTTTTCTTCTGCTTCAATAAAGAATCTCTTCTGCTTCATTGCATTCAGCTGAACTGAAATGAGCCTTTGCTGTTGTTACACCCAAATTCAACATCCTGTCCTCGAATACAAGTAATTGAACTAATTCAGCCAAATCCTAGTCCCTGGTCTGGACACAGCCCTCCTGCAGTGACAGTGAGACACAGTTTGGGTCTGCAGTGGCACAGAGTGGGGCTCGGAGCAATCCGGGCTGTGAATCTGATTGTACTGACTCCAAAGTGGTGGCAATGGGGGGGAAAAAAGTTCTTGTTGTCTTATATAAGGCTTAAAGGTGTCTCCACCTACACTGTCACTTTTAGGCAGCTTCACTCAGTTGTCATGTAATTTAACATTAAACACAGAAGACTTGTGTATAGAGCCCTGGGAGCTCTGTTATTATCTTGCTCCTTTCCAGGTCTTTGCTTTCCTTACCACAGCTTGCTTTTGCAGGTATTCTTACCTCAGAGTAATTGAGACTTCATTCTGCAAAACTGTGGGGCGTAAAAGCACAATACATATGGAAGTGTGATTTATTTATGGTTTTGGCTACTTGTCATTAGCATTGATGCAATTATTACAATGTTACTAGTATGAGTTTGAATTTGGTTATTTCAAGGTTCTCTGTTTCCCTGAAACTGATGATTTTACTACACACAATTTTCATGCCTTTAATTCTTAGAAAATCTTTATAACCTTTTAGTTATTTGTTACTCACTACCTAGAAATCATCTGTTTAAATAATTTCTTACACTCTATTTGCAGTTATACTGTGATTAAAGAGGACATCTGACCAGCTTAAGGTCTAAATGTTTCTGAAAATATCCTACTTGATAACACCAGGGAAAAGGCTCCACAAAGGTTCAGGAAATTTGGGGGCCTGCTTTCACATCCTCCTCCCTTGTGGCCCTGTATTCCTCTGTCAGAAATTTCCCATGAAATGCCACTGCAGCCGCTGGGATGGGGAGAAGCAGGAAAAGCTGCTGTGGGCTGCAGTGTTCACATACTTCTTGGTTCAAGGACCACATGAAGGTCAAATCAATGAAACTCCTTCCTGGGGAACACAGGCGGCTGGAGGAGGGCAGAAGCCTAAATTGTCTTGGACTAAGTCACAAGGGAACTGTGCTGGTTTTGGCTGGGGTAGAATTAATTGTCTTCCTAGTGGCTGGTGTGGGGGCTATGTTTGGGATTTGTGCTGGACACAGGGTTGGCAATAGAGATATGTTTTTGTTGCTGAGCTTACACAGAGCCAAGGCCTTTTCTGCTTTTTTATTGCCATGCTGGGGAGGGGGCTGGGGGTACATGAGAGGTTGGGAGGAGACACAACCGGGACAGGTAACTCCAATTGACTTAAGGGATATTCCAGACCATATGACATCATGCTCAGTATATAAAACTGGGGAGGAAGGACGGGATGTTTGGAGAGATGGAGTTTGTCTTCCCAGGTCACTGTTACGTGTGATGGGGCTCTGGTGTCCTGGGGGTGGCTGAACACCTGCCTGCCCATGGGAAGTGGTGGATCAATTCTTTGTTTTTCTTTGCTTGGGTGCATGGTTTTTGCTTTCCCTATTAAACTGTCTTTATCTCAGCCCATGAGCTTTGTAGCTTTTACCCTTCCAATTCTCTCCCCAGTCCTGGTGGTGAGAGTGAGCGAGTGGCTGTGTGAGGCTTGGCTGCTGGCTGGGGTGAAACCATGACAGGAGTCTGGACCAACCAGGAAGCTGAAACTCAAACTATGTGACTAAAAAAAATATGTATATATTTATTTACATATCTACATTTACCTTTTTGGTTGGGGGACAGGGGCAGGAGAAGTCTTGTCCTTTATACCATGAAGGACCACCATACCCAAGGTGACTGTGGCAGCATCCTCTTGCTTCTGCTTTGGTATCTATGAAATCATGATGCTGCTTTTCAAAACAACCATCTTGTTTTAGGAGAGGGCAAAATATTCTGAGCGTGGGTGGAAGGGGTGGCATCACAAAGTCCAGGAGAGAAAGAGCAAAATCAGTTTTTCTTCTATTCTGGACCACTCCATTAGTAAGCACACAGGAGGTATGAACTGATGGCAGGGCTACTGTGGTCTGTGTGTGGAGAACTGGGCTGGAACAGTGCAAAAATGGTGCTGAAGGGAGCACGAGAGGAGCACTTGGCACTTCCTCACTCTGTGCTTGCCATGCCTGGGGGTATTCTGTGAGTTACCAGCACATGGAAGACAAGGAAGAGCAACATTTCCTCCCCAGGCACAGGATGATAAAGCCAAGGAGCAAATGCAGCAGCCATGGGTGCTGCTGCTGGAGGGGAAGGAAGCTCCAACTACAGTGAGGCCCTTGCGGTCATGGGTAACAAACTGGTGACACACCAGGCTGCAGTGGTGAAGTGTCCCCACCCAGCTTGGAACATCAGGGGCTGGTGACCTGCTGGCCCTTGGACACAGGCTGGGCAGCACGTGGGCTGGGCTGCAGGCTCACTGGGCTGGGTTGCAGACAGACTTAGCAAAGGAGTCTGTCCATAGCTCCATGTGCCAACCCCACGGCCGTGTCCTCATCCTTATCCTGAAGTGGAACAGCATGTTTTATGTAAACATCCTTTGCCTTGGCAGTAGAAATGATGAATAACTCCTTAACTCTAGGAAAATCCTACAAAGACTGTAAAAGCCCACTATGCCACTTACTCCTGGCAGGGTCTGCACAGGGTGCCACATCTGTCTGACACTGCAGCTGATCTAGGCTGTTCCTTGTTTCCGTCTGGTATCTCCAGTAAATGTTTTAATCCATACCTTATGGAGCTGAGGGCCTTTCCTAGTGGAGTCTGTGGAGAACATGTGCACAGGTGCACTACATCTGCTGTATCTTTCGGCACACACAGTATTTTGAGCTTTCAAATCACCCCCTTTGAAAAACCAGTCCCAGGTGCCCTCCCTGTGCTCAGGAAAACAGACAACAGGCTATCCTCAGCATCCTAGTTATTTCTGAACCAGCAGCAGCTGCATTGAGAGATGAGCACAATAGCTCTTAGTTTTGGAAAAATCAGTGAACAGGTTTGGGAACTGTTGGCACATAGAGAAAACACACGCAAAGAATGTACAGGAAACATAGTAATGGTTTTGCAATTCTTGCATTTAATTACTTCAGCATGTGGGTTTTTCTTGGTATTCAGCCTTCTCCTTTCCACTGCAATCTTTTGTAGGAAACTTGCATAAATAAACACTTTTCCCAGACCGGTACATAAACCAGATACACAGATGCACAAGCTTTTTTTTTTTTTTACAGTTTTCATAAGCCTTGGTTTCTTAACTTCTTGGGAGAGAAAGTGTAGTAAGAACCCATGATGCACTCAGACCCAACCCCCGAGGGTGAGATGCACTCAGGGGAGAGGACTCCATGACGGAAGAACATGACACCAACCCTTTACAGGAACTACCATCCAACTTGGGCAGGAAGTGAGAGGCACAGAGCAGCCTCCCAGAGAACTCTGCTGTCTGCATGGTGTTGTCAAACAGCACACCAGAAAGGTCTGATATTTACTGTTTCACTCTTGGCAAAATTGTGGCCTTTGGAGAGGAATCAACAAACCAAACCAGACCCGGGACAGATGTAACTTGCTCACCACCCCCCACTCCCTTCAGCTCACGAAAACTTGAGACTATTCAGCCCTTGGCCTCAAGTCAGTGAAAGACTGTGAAAGGCTCGAATAATACAAACTTGACAAAAGGCAATTCAAAAGATGGAAACACGAAGGGTAACGAGGTAAGAACAGGTAAAAACACGGGAATAAATGACACTGAAGGCGTTACACAGACACACACATTCAGGAGCAGGACCTTCCTCTGCAGCTCATAGATTTGACAGTGAAGCACAAATCCAACGAAGTCAGGCCAGCACAGGTAACATGCATTATTATCTAGCAGGCTTCAGGATGTCTAATTACTTTGTATTCTTGAATATAAAAGAGCTCAATACTTATTAGTTCAGGAACTTCAGAGAGAACAAAGCCTGTAGGTAGCCTGAATTCCCCAAACTGGAAAAAAATTTCAAGTAATTGTGCTGGTAGGAAATATCAGGTGACATTATTCAAGGGGGTTTCTACCTGCATCCAGGCCTCTTGCAGCCCCAGCAGTTCTGTGTTGCTTCAGCACACAGCAGGTTTGTGTGGGCTCGTGTAACTGCGACACACTCAGTACCAGCACAGGGGAACAGCAGGGCTGGGCTCCACAGTGCAGCTGCTCACAGAACTTGGGAAAACAGTGCAGAAAGAAATTCTGGGGAGAGACGTTTTGATGAAGCAGACACTACATTTTGTAATTCGCTGTCAAAGGACTCAGATGCATCTGGTTAATTTGGCTTTAAGATTCCACAGGCAGAAACCACAGCACAAAGCCCCAGGGCTCCCCTTCTCATTTTAGGGGCAGCTGCTGGCCTTTCCTAGACATGAATCAGTCCTACTGACCATCTCCAAGGACACATGACCTGTGAGCTGGGGGCAGGTTACCCCAGAACTGCCATGCAATGTGCATGAGAAATCAGCTATGCAGGGGGCAAGCACTTCCTACCACAACTCCTACAGTCTGGGGCAACGGATGTGTGCTAGCATGTTAAAAGTAATACTCCACAGTTAAAATGTCATTTTCCATAGGAAAAATGTTCCCTATACCTAGGAGCAGATCTAGGAGTACGAAAGATATCTAAGCAGATGCAAACAATTGTAGCCACAAACCATCAAAAAAAGAAATCTCAAATTAAAAATGAAATTTAAAACCAACTTAATTCCAAACAGTAGACAAGCCACCTATTGAAGCAGGTTCTCCAAAGAGTAAACCCAGGTTTAAAATATTACACACCACATTACTATCCAGCTAACAAAAACAAACAGTATCCCCCCCAACAAAAAAAACCCAGCCAAACTTTACAAACAGGATACAAACAGATTTCCTCTTGCAATAAGGATACTGGATAAAAAGTTATGGAATACACTGCGGTACGTTTACAGGGAGGTTGTTATTCCCTTCTGCCTAGTGCCTTTGCTCCACCAGCTTTTGTTCTGAGCTTGTGTTCAGTTCTCCCAGATGTGCTCCTTGCTTGGAGCAAGAGAACTTCCATTTGTCTGTGCAGAACAGGGTCTCCAGGAAGCAGGTGAGGACAAAGCTCACACTTCTTGCTGCTCCAGTCCTGTGGTGGCTATTCCACAGCACTAAGCCAGTTACAGATATTCTGAGTTCAAGAAGTTTCTATCTCAGAGGCCTCATCTATGAAGTTAGCAACAGGACTAAGGAGCAGGAGTGGAAACAGTTTATACTCTCCATTCCCATCCTCTGGGAGGAGAGGTGGATCACCCATTCCCAGGGTGTCCAGAGACTCAGCCTGGCTTGCTGGAGCTGTGAGTGGCACAATGGTTCCACTGCCTGATGGAGACTGGAGAGCAGGTTTCTCCTCCAGGGGAGGCAGCAGAAAGTCTTTTGGATCCTCCATCTTTCCTGCAACTTCACCTGAGGGTTGTTCTTCAAATAAGGAAAGCAGAGGGTTGGCCCTGTACTGGATCAGCTGCATATCTGAGGGAAAACAAACAGTTCAAAGTGTTTCACTAAGTGAAGGCTCTTATTCAAGGCAAGAAAACCTGGAGAGGCTGCTTCAGACGTGGTGCACTACAGGAAAGCCTCGAGATGGGCTTGGAAAGTCCCTACACCCATGGCTGCCAGAGTTGAGCCAAGGCCCTGTGTCTGCAAACATCAGGGTCTGAAGCCCACTCTAAGCCCCTGATTCCCATGGCATGTAATGGCAGCACTGCAGTGGCAACCCAGCAGCACTGCCCCTGGGGGGGTCACAGCACTGCCCCTGGGGGGGTCACAGCATTGCCCCTGGGGGGGTCACAGCACTGCCCCTGGGGGGGTCACAGCACTGCCCTTGAAGGGGGGTCACAGCACTGCCCTTGAAGGGGGGTCACAGCACTGCCCTTGAAGGGGGGTCACAGCACTGCCCTTGAAGGGGGGTCACAGCACTGCCCCTGGGGGGTCACAGCACTGCCCTTGAAGGGGGGTCACAGCCTGCATAGGAGATACTGCCACAAGGACATTTGCAGTTCTGCTCCCCATTGTGGAACTTGTGTCATGTTTCTATGTGAAAAAGGAAACAGTCAGCACCACCACAGGGCACAGGATGGGCCTCTTGAGACTGAGGCACAGCTTCAAGATCAGTGAAACACCCCAGTCTTCACAAAAATTTTAAACTCAAAGAAGGAGATAAACCATATTACAGGCTACAAAAATTCAATTTCAATACCAAGTTTTGGAAGAGTCTGGAGCTGTCATAGTGCTCAGTGTTCCTTCCTACCCACCTTTGCTTCCTGCTGTTTCCCTCTCACTCACTCCCAGACCTTCAGTGCTCTCTGTCAAGTTTTCCATCTGAAACAAAGCAGACAGAGAGTTAAGACAGAATGTTTAACAACAACAAAATTGAAGTCTTTACTGACTGGTTAACAGAATTAGAGGTGAAAGAGAAGGGAAGAGAGATGGAGCAGCTGAGGAATGAGTCCATTGTTGCACACGAGGGCCTGCACATTGCTCTCAGAAGGACGCACAGTGAAATACAGACAAACTTAACTTACTAGGTCAAAAAAGCTTCTGACTAGCAAATATTTGTTTTACCTTCCAAACCAGAAACTTTATTATAATCTGCCTTGTTGGGATAACAGTAAAACATGATTTCATTATGCAATTAAATTTTGCAGGCACCGCTTAAACACAGCTGCATTTTACATCAGTTGTAGTATAAACTCTTCTGAGTGGGAAGTCCTAATTTAAATATTATTTCAGGACTACAAAAAAAATAACACTTACAAGAGGTTTTTTTAATAGTATGATTCAATTTTAGGAATTGGACTAAGAGAAGTTTGTGCTGAGCTTCTGTATGTCCTCTAAGGAAATCCCATACAGCCACGTGCAGAACAAATATGGTGTAGTGCATTACAATTTTCATTTAGTACTTTTCTTTCAGTCTTCAGACAGGCATTTCGTGTGTGTGACTACACTAGGAATGCAGGACTGGAACTTATCTTGAGATCCCTGTTAAATTCCTTCATGCCAACACTGATAACTGACACCCTGGGGTCAGCCAGAAGGGATGAACTGGCAGTTTCAGGCTGTGCCCCAGCCCCACCCTCATGCTGCATCCCACAAGATTCAGCTCCCAGAATTCGCCTTTCCCACCAAAGAAGCAAATGTTACTCTTACATTTTCCATACCAGGCGGTGTTTCCATCAAGTTCATATCCAGGGCTGGCAGCTCGGGATTAAATGTCTGAAAATAAAACCAGACCATATGTCAACTAATAAAGTTCTTGAAACAAAACTGCAGAGACTCCTGAAGGGATGGTAGGAACAGTGTGCTGCTCCTTCCACTGAAGCACAGGGACAGTGGCTCCTCCACGGGCCTCCAGCCAGGTGCTTCAACCTGTGGCAGTAAACTGAGGTGACAGGAGAAGAAAAAGTCACCGTATTTCCCAGTGATTCCAGGAATACAGCTGAGTTTCACTCCATATCATAAAGCATAATCAAACACACAGTCAGGATGTGATGATATGTGACTGAGGATTATGAAGGACAAGCAAGGCTTCCCCCTTGAGTTATGTAGAACAGAAATCCTGCATGACCTGGGAAAGGCTTCCAATGTTACCCTGAACACTGTAAAAGCCTATGAATCATACTATCTGTAACTATTTGCTTCTCAGGATGTTCCCCCTCCTTACCCATTACAACATGGAATAAACCAGTAACATTTTATGATGCAACTTGAGCAGTATTTTTCAGAAATCATAACAGTGAGAAGACACTCACATCGCTGAATGCTTCGGCACCGAAGTTGTACTGCTTCCCTGACAGCATTGCTTGGAGCTCTTCAAGGCTGGCATCAATGCAGTTCAGAAAATCCTGAATTTCTTCTCTAAAAAACCAAAATGACATAGTACTGTAAGGCACAGTTAGCAAGCAGGTTGCTTACAATCCAGAATAACCCAACAGATGAAACCGCATTCCTGCATCACCTTTCACTCCAGCTTTGAGGTACAGGCGCAAGGAAGACCACGTGAACAGCAAGCACAGCGACAGCTAGCGGGTGAAAAAGCAGTTCCTCCCTCCACACCTACTTCCTCCCTCATTTTAACATCTGGTGAATGTTCTCAGATCCCAGCCTGTACACCAGTATGTGTTTAAACTAAGGTCTGATGGTTTTCCCCTGAACAATAAATGACAAGCAAAGGGATGGAAGTAATCTGGGCCTGAAGGAACTCTACCTACTTTGAAACATCAGCTTGTTGCCAAATTGGACATGTTTCCAGGGACAGTGGGCAGGAATTGAAGGACAGTGAAGGAAGTGAAAAGATGGCTGCAGGCACAGTGCCCATACCAAGTGTCTTGCTGTGCCATCAGCTCCTCCTGTACTGAATTCTCAGCTGTGAGGAACGGGCAGCTCCCAGTGCCCAGGAGGGAAGGTACTGCAGGGCGTTCAGATTACACAAGTGCTGGGACACCATCCCAGACCTTCCTACCTGCCACTGACCACAGCAGGAGAGCTGTAGGAGCAAGAACCAAAGCAGGTTCCTCGATCCAACTCTCCTGCAGCCGCAGTGACAGCGCTGGCAAAGCTCAGGGGCTGAAGCAGAGCTGGGAGCTGCACACAGGTGGTGTGGAGTGGGAACCCACAGCCTGCATCCCTCATCCAGGGGTGTCTGATCTGACAGGGCACCTGGGAACACCTCTGCACGAATGAGGGGTAGAGAAAGGAAAGAACACTGAGCTGACACCCACTGGCCACTGGGACAATCCACGTCCAGGTCCCAGGAACAAAATGGCCACAGTGCATGCCCAAGATCAGTGCTCTTCACCTGCTGCTTGGCAGCTCCTGGCAGTGCCAGCAGTGGGCTGATGGGACAGACTGACCTTCACAGGCCCTAGGATGAACACACCAGCAGTCAGGCACACTAGTTACCACAGAGGTGACAGGGGAACTTGCCCTTTTACAGTGTGTGATGCCAAGCCTTGGCTTTTTCAAGCCCTGCTAACAGAGGCACAGGGAATTCACTTCATCAATGACAATTCAAAAGCTGATTCCCTACATTCTGCCAAACACATCCTCCAAAACTCCAACAAGACCCCACAAGATGATGACAGTGTAACAGTTTTCAGAAACAAGTTAATACCTGTCCAGCAAAGGATCATTTTGATTTCCAGAGTTGTTCTCATTCAAGATGGAGTCAATCACTGACACCGGGTCCTCTGGAGCATTTGGTTGTGCAGTATGGAGTTCCACAGCAGCACTGCCTATTTCACTGGATTTGCTGACATCATTTACAGGAACTGGTGGGACAGGTTCTGCACAATTTAACTCACTTGGCTGTGATACTTGACAAAGAGGTAAGCCGGGATCCACAGCTGCCTGTGGCTCTCTGAAATGTAACCCCAAGAGAAACAACACACAGGAGAATTCATCCAACTGCATTACTATTCATTTCAGCTTTAGCATCCCAAACCTTAATAACACCAAGCCAGTCGAGAGTTCAAACAATGTACTGGTTTTTAGAAAAAGCAGCAAAGTGTCTTCCTAAAGGCAGATGAAGAATTTCTTATTACAGCTTATACAGAGAGTACATATCAGGGCAAAACACCCCATTTTCCCAGGCTAAAAGCAGCAAAATAAAACATGGAAATTAGGCAGGAGGGAAACTCCTAACAGACAGACTCTCAAAAGAAAAGATTCCAAATTGGTCCATATTTCACTCTGGGTGTTACAAACGAAATAGGTTTTCACTAGAATCTGCTGCCACACAGAGGATGTCTTCCCTAGGCTATGTTTAGTGAGAGAAGTACTGAGACTGGAGATAAAACTATACATCTTGATTTGTCTGTCAGCAACCTATATACATTTTGGATTGCTTATTAATCACCTCTGTATGCATTCAGGTCCCTGTTCAGTCGAAAAGTCAAGTATGTGCTTATTTGTTGAACAGGCAGAAAAGCCTCAGCAAATCAAACCTGAAGTGCCCATCAGCCTGACAGGCCTCTAGGCACTCCTGAAGAGACACAGGCTCTGACCATGACCAGTGGTACATGCTGTAAAAAGGAGAGCCCACAACAGGCCCGTCATGCACAAACGGTGTGAACATTCAGAGAGGCTGTTTCCCAGAATCCACATGGAATCACCAACATTAACATAACTACCAGTTAACAACCCAAGCATAAACGTGTGCTTTGGACATACCTGGCTCTGCCACTCGTGTGTGCCACGGCCAGGAGGCCATCAGTGGCATTTTCCAGGGTGTCAGTGATATCTCGGATGATGAGACCTGTGCCATTTCCATCCTCTTCATCTGCACTATGTTCAGAAAAAGCCATCTGCAGATACAGCACAGAATGAGTAAACCACAGGCTCTGACTTTTTCTTTTTTTATTTTGAAGCCCCATTCTTCTTGCAGCTTCTCTTTCCTGTTCAGATTTTATCTGTGACCAGTTGTACTGATTTGCACAATTTTACAGCCAGAGCAATGCTCTAAAGCTGCCCATTGCAAAAGGGAGAGCATTTGATTACAAGATTAGTGTATTTGTAGCTACAGGGTAGACTGGTATCCCCAGGTATCATTCTGTTCAACCCACTGCCTCTTTCCCTGGGGACACTTACAGCTTGGCCACTCTCCACAGGTATGCGGACATACTGACGGCTGTACTTGGAGGGTGAAGCACCTGCAGCGTCTGTGAGAGACCTGAGAAAACCAACAGCTTTAGTACATTGCTAGTTCCACAGGAAGGAGCTGCAGCAGTGCCAAATACATGCAGTAGTAGTAAGGACAATCATTCTTTCCCTCCTAAGAAGCCTGGCTCTTGGGAATGCGTGTCAGGAAGGGCACTGCAGGCAGTCTGCACTACACATACGCTGCGTTTGGAAGAAGTCAGTCACATGTGCATGTTTTGAGAGTTACCACTTCTGATAACTGTGCCCTTTGGAACTGAGTACGTATAGAATATTCTCTCCCTGCCTATTTTTTTAGTGGTAAGGAGGAAAATCTTTATTTTGTGCTTGATTCAACTTCCATCAGCTTTGTCAAGTTTGAATATACAAGTAATAAAAATATACTTCATACACTAGAAGCCAATTTATGCCTATAATTCACATCTGACACGGATCTGGGACCTATAAAGTAATTACCTTTTTCTTTTGACCCCAACAATGTAATTTCCTCGCATCAAACTTAGTATAAATTGAAGAATCTAAAAAGGAAAAACAAGGGAAAAAAACCAAAACCAAGTGGTCAGCATAGCAATCCTAATATCAAATTCTTAATTCAGATTTTACTATAAAATGATGCAGTTATGTGACTGAAATTAACAGGTAAATTAAAAATCCATTTGCAATTGTATCTTAAGAACCAAAACAAGAGTTACAAACCGCACAGAACTTATCCCACTTCCACAGTTGGGGTTTTTTTTTGAAATGCAATATAACAGCACAAGTCACTAGAGGATTCCAGACCAGAAACAGCTGAGGGATAAACCAGAGAAAATTTGTTCCAGTGCACAAGCTCCTACAGTTTCCAGGTTCCATATTCACTTCACAAGTGGTCTAAGTGTGTCCTGGTCCAAGATCTTTCACAGATTCGGTTCCATGTGCCTGCAATCTTGTGTTCTGGGCTCCTGTTACCATGCACTGCCTCCACACACTGACATCCTACTATGACTTTTCCTTAGTGCTTTGCTCGTGGTTCTTTACTGTGCTACTTCTGGGACACTCAGGAACTGTGAACATTTTCTTTCTGCTGTATCAATACAGCCTGTTCAGCTCTGTGTCATTTGTCATTCTACATAAGCAAAGAATGCCATGAAGTATCACAGAGGCAGGAATAAGGATGGTAGCACTGAAGATGCTGCAATGGTACCTTAGACAGCAGCTTCTGTTGTTGACTGTGCTTCTGCCTTAGAACTGCCACTTCTTTCCACAGGGCCTTATTTTCTCTGCAATGCAGAATAAATCAGAAGACAGAGGATGAACAGAGTTTACTTTATATGCTCTAGTTTTACAGCTTTCAAACTTTCACAGTACCTTGCAGGACTAACGACAACATTCCCTCTATGGATAACTAACTCAGGTAATCCAATCCACTAGCATAAACTCTGGGTTAATTTAACTCCATTTTCCATCAGGCAGGACCAAACGCTCAATAAGTGCACCCTCATCCTCTGCTACTCCACCAATAATCTCAATCTGAGGTATTCCTTCAAAGCCTCAAAGCTGTCAAATAAAGACTGTGTGTTACACTCAGCCTGTTTCCAAGCACCGACAGCCTCAGGACAGGCTCAAAGGTGGTGTTCAAGGTGGTGTTGGGTTTTTTTAAAGAAACAGAGGGAGTAAGGTATCTCTGGTTGATACCTGCTGGCATACCAATGACCTAAATGAATTACCAGTGCCTATATGAAGAGGATCTGTGGGAACAGAGATGAGGATGTGCAAAGTCCACTTCCAATTAGAAAGAAAACCAAACACTAATTGTCCCTCACTGCATCTAACCCTGTTTGTGTTCAGAAAAGGAAATGTTTTGATTGCCCTAAAAAGCTGCTGGCAACCAAAGTGAAATCTCAAGACAGTCAACAAACTCCCAGTCTTAATCTCCAGTCTGTAACTGAATTATAAAAACAAACAAGATTCAGAATGTTGTGTGGGGTGGAATGGGCATTCTTAGGAAAAAATACAGCTTCACCTGTTTCCAGTCCAAATGAAACCCATATTTAGCCAAGCTCCACCAGATATAAGCCACATTTAATGTATAAGCGCCTCCGAAACAGCTGAGTCTACCTCTTCATATTAGCCAGCCTGACATCCATGTTGTTCTGCTGCTCTCTCATCTCCTGCACCTCGGACAGGACTTTGTGCAAATCCTCCGTGCAGACCTTGAGATCCTCGGTTCTCACTGCAGACACCTAAAATAGGTACACATGCTTTACTACAAACAGTGCCTTGCATACTCCTTGCTGCAGGAAGAGTGCAGTCAGTCTGCAGAACAGGTACAGGCTCTGCTACACCAGGTAACACTGTAATTCTTACATGTCACAAAACACCACAACTGCTATATGTGACAGTCCTTAGGACAGTCTGCACTGTATGAAAAAAACAAGATGTCAGTGAAAAGATGAGATTACCACTTTGTACCTGAAGACAGTAAATTCATGACTGTAATTCATGATAAAAACCACTGATTCAAGGGGCTTTCCCCGGGGGCTCTCTGCCCTCTAGTGTCACAGGCAAACACCAGCCAAAAGCAAAACACAATTGACAGTGGAAGAAGAACAAGATGATCATATTCCTTCTGGGTGTGTGAGTACATCTGCCAGCAGAGGAGTAACAAATTTCCATTAAGTTCCTGGAGGATGAAGGTGTCAAGTTAGATGCATCCTGCTTGATCTGAAAATTTGTCCCACACCAGATGAATTGCAGATTCCCATATTGGTGTTTCCTCTGTTACCTCTCTGCTCAGCGATATTCCAAAGGTACAGAGACTTGTCTCCAGAAAGAAGAGTCCAATCTGCTCTTCTGCCCACAGCAGAATCCGTGAATGTTGCCACTTCAAATGATGGTGGAAGAGCCACCAGAAAGCAAAAAGCTCACCACCTCCTTCCTGTACTTCTATGTTAAACATTTTTGGTTCCTTCAGGAACTCTCTCTGCAGCGGGAGCATTGTTAGCTATGATACAATTCAGGATTTTGAAAAAGACAGGTCTAGTGCATCACAGCTCGGAATGACACATCCAGGTTTTGTGGGCATCATTTTAAACATCATTTTGCCAAATACTGACTATGATGGAACCAAACAGAGTTGCACCAGATATCCCTCCTAACCTACACCATACTGGGAGTTTTCTTCTTATTCTACTAAATTCCAAGCGGGAGGTGAAAGCATCTGGGATTGGCCTGCTGAGGTGTAAGATAACTTCCACACAGGTTGGCTAACAGATCCCATCTTCCAAAGGGCAAGGGGATGGTCAGAAGCAGACCTATGGTGTTATAAACCAACATCCCACTCCTTCATGCTGGAACAGAACAAAGCTGTTGTGCAATCACTCCTCAGACATGACTAACTATTTTCTTAACACAATCCTGTGATGCAAAGGATGGACTGAAGGGTCTGACAGTTCTCCTCCCTGTCTGCAGTTTAGAAGCTTCACTGTTTGTTGCAGGTAATAACTTATGCTAATGTACCCAGGGTGCATCCCAAACGGAATTCATGGCTGTCTGATTTCCTTTCAACACACCATGTCTCCCTGGGGAAGACACCCGAAAGATGCAGGCAGCAGGTGGGAATTTCAAATGCGGCCAGCCTCTAAAAAAAGGCTCCAACTAAAACATTCTGCCCAAGTGCACGGAACTGCTCTTCAGTCTCCAACTGGCTAATTAGGGTGGTGAGGCCCTGGCACAGCCTGTCCGGAGAAGCTGCAGCTGCCCCATCCCTGGGAGTGTACCAAGTCAGGTTGGACAGGGCTTAGAGCAACGTGGCAAGTGGGAGGTGTGCCTGCCCACAGCAAGGGGGTGGAATGAGATGAGCCTTTAAGGACCCTTCCAACTCAAACCATTCTGCGATTCTATGAAGACACACAGGGTGTCTGCACACCAGCAGAGCTAACAGTGAAAGGGAGTAAGTAAAGCAAGTCCTGCATTCAAACCTGCATTCCTGACAGAGACTTGAAATCCAGTTTATAGCCAATACTGGAATATGGCTCCATTCCAGGTAGTAAAATAGCAAGAAAAATAATAACTGTTTTGCAAAAAAAAATCACTAATATTTCCTGTGCAACAAAGAAAATGTTTCACCAACCTATTCAATACTTTACATGGATGTCCTTGGCACTAAGCAGAGCTTTTGTCTTTTCATCTAGAACACGCCACCCAGTGCCCCACCCCTGGGACACACAGTGCCACACCTGTTGTCACTGGCTGCCTGCCCCAACACGTGTGGTGCTGGGACACGCATGGTCTGGGACATGGGCGGTGCTGGGACACACGTGGTGCTGGGACACGTGTGGTGCTGGGACACGCATGGTCTGGGACATGGGCGGTGCTGGGACACACGTGGTGCTGGGACACGTGTGGTGCTGGGACACGCGTGGTGCTGGACATGGGCGGTGCTGGGACACGCGTGGTGCTGGGACACGCATGGTGCTGGACATGGGCGGTGCTGGGACACGCGTGGTGCTGGGACACGCGTGGTGCTGGGACACGCATGGTGCTGGACATGGGCGATGCTGGGACACGCGCTGCTCACACGGGGGGAGCACTGGCCTGAGCCAGCACCGGGGAATCGATTCTGGCTCCGAGCAGGGGCAGCTCAGCGAGGAATCGATCCAAACACAATTGCGGCTCTCCAGCCTACCCTGGGCTTTTATTACCCTGGGCAATGCAGCCACACCTGACGACAGTCTAAAGAAAAGATTCTGCCGTTCACGTGTCAACATGATGTATCGTGATACTCTCTTCCTTAGGATATTATGGGCAGTAACGTGTCAAGAGAAGATGAATATCTGTGCAGAAACAGGTCAGACAAGGCCTGAACGTACAAAAGAAAACCAGAAAGTGCTCACAAAGATGTAGCTTAGTGGCAACATAGTTTTGGAGGAACACTATAATTTATGCAAACTCACCCAAATGAAATGATTACTGATGCCCTTGCTAATTTTTAATGAGTGCCAAATGAAAATGTATTTCTTTTGCTTCTTTCACTTTGTGCCCCTCTCCGAGTTGGAGACACTGACAGAACTGTAGACTGTGATAAGGTGCAATCAGGGATATGAGCTATGTGGAAAGGGCTCTTGTTTGATGGAGATGCAGAATGTGGCCCTATCCCAGTGCATTGCCAACAGCAGGGAGGGTTTTGTCTAAGCGCTGGCACGAGGAGGCCCAGCTAAGCACCAGCATGGCACTGTGAGGGAGTTACTAAGGCTTGCATCAGGATGTACAACCTTGTTTCCCATGGCATTTGCTGGCTCTGAAACACCCATACATGCTGTTAATAAGCCACTTTTCATGACACAGTGAAGTAAACATTGTGCTTAGACTGTACCTTGCGCTTGATGTTTTCCAGTAAATGTGCCTTCCCTTGCTTGAAGAAAGGGTGCTGGAATTCAATGACTGAGCTCTTCTCTGCTGTAATGATACCATTCTCCAGAGCAATCACCTTCCTGAAACCATCTGTGGAGAGGAATCAGCAAAGGCATTTCTTCCAGTACAAAGCTGACTGTTACAACATACAGCTAAAGAAAACTCCAAGGCTACCAAAATATCCGAAGCACCACAGTTACTAGGAGCAGAAACTATGAAAAACAGCCAAAGCAGCTTTTGCTGGTGCTCAGTGATTTCACTGCTTTGATCTTCACAGCTAGAGAACAGTCTAGTGTCCACAGTACCATGGAACGCCCTGGCAGGCTGCACACACAGCTGTGTGGCAGAGGTCACCAAGTGTCCATGGGCAAGACGGTCATGTCCAAAACACCACAGCAGTTAGTTAGAAATGAGATTTGTTATGACATCTTACACAGAATCTTGTCCCAGTGCAAGCAGAGGAATGGTACACCTTCCCCTTTCATCCCTGACAACTACATATCAAAGCAAATGCTGTCATGCACCACCATGGTCTACAGAATAAAGCAAGATAGGGAAATTAGTTCCCTGCCTGTGCAAATACCTGCAGCAGAGCACCTTCTCCAAGTATGGAGAACTGTCTGCACAAAGTGAGACATTGCTAGCTCTATTTCCATCACTGTTTAAGCACCACAGGGTAGAAGCAGGACAGAGCTGACAGACCAATCCATCTCTCTCCTCGCTCAAGTTTTTAACACAGTTAATGCATTCCAGCTTCACTGTGCCCCAACAGTGTTGGCGTTACGGAGCCAGGACAGGTCCACCAGGAAAAGGAGGCTGCCACTGCATTGCATGTCTTCATAGGAATATTTGCATTTTCACATTTACCCTGGCTACAAAGGAAGTGACAATTGTTTCTTTGGATTACCCTTTGTCACTCAAGTAACAGGGTCACAGAAACGGCAGCACATGACACAAAGAACTGCATCTACCCTCTGTCCAAACACTAAACAGGTGTGCTTTCTCTCACATCTGACAAAATCTATACAAGCATCAGCTAGAGAGACCAGGCAAACTACTGGACATGGACAGAGAGCTCCTCCCTCTCACTCCCAATGAAATTCTAACTAAGGCAGCATCTCCTGTGCACTTTGCCCCTCCACTGGGCCCAGAAGCTTCTGCAGCTATTCCTGCTGGGTGCCGCAGTCTCTCTCTCACAGCATCCCTTTGCCTGGCTACGCTGTACACGTGCTATAAAATGCTGCCACGTGACGCTCACAAGCACAGAAAATGTAACGAGAAACATAGTCCAGCTCAGCCCATCAGCAGGACTGATCAGGCTCCAACACAGCAATGCAAGCAAAAGCAATGGCAGCCCCAAATCCAGGCAATTTTTTTCACATTCTAGGAGTATGGGTGTATACACAGCCTTTGCTCCCCAGGGTACACATATGTTTGCTGCTACATTAACAGCACCACTGGAGCCCAGGGAACCCCACCCTGGGGGGTTCTTACATATTCTTACAGCTGTTGCTCTAAAGGACTTGGAGCAGAAACACAAAAACCAAAAACCAAGCTCTACCATCAGTGTTTGCTTTTGCAAAGCAAACTCAAGGCCAGAACCCAGGTTTTCAGGGATGAGACTTGCCAAGTCCACTTGCTTGTTTAAAGAAATCCAAAATGAAGCCAAGGAGCAATGAACTTGGCAGAGAGAACACGTAGCAACAGCTGATGCTTACACATGTTGAGCTGCCGTATGAAGCTGGAGATATTGTTGTGTTTGAAGTACTTAGGGAGCAGCTCCTTGGCAAACCTCTGCTCATCCAGAATGCAGAAATTCTCGCCATTCTAGGAAATAAACAGGAGTAACAGTTAATGAACAAGCACAGCTTTCCTAAGATGTTGCTCTTAAGTGAAGACCATAAATCAGCAGAGACGAGCAAAACACTTCACCAAGGGAACTGCCTGTGGGAATACTTCTCAGTACTTGGGACTGGACTAAAAAATTTTAATACAGAGACACAGTTACATGGAACACTTCTATTGAATAGGGATTTTCTTAAAGCCCTGATGCTTTGATCTTAATCCAAAGCAAAATTTTTCTAAAAACCTGCTCTCCTTGTCCACAAGAAACATAAGCATTGCTCAAACACAATGGAATTCACACCACTAGAGAGACTTCATCTCCCTTCATCAGTCTGACCAGCTCCTGACAAGATTATTCCATTGTACGTGCTACGTCATCACTAAAAATAACCAAGTAACGTTGCCGTTAGTTGTCTGAACCAAAAGTTCAGACAACACAACCCAGCGGTGACCAGGGGTAAGTGAGACACCAGCAGTCCCAGATTTATCATATGCTCAAGATCAAACTTCCTGGAAGCGGCCAGAGGTTTTTTGCATCCCTTTTAATGCTATTCACAAAGAGAACAAAAACATTGTGTTTCTTTTTATCTTTTCCTTGTAGAGGACAAACGGCTAAAAACAAAGGAGAAAATCCCTCGGATTTAAAAATGACAGGGACAAAAATAAACACGGTGCTTGTCTGGGGTGTGTGGTCTGTGTGTCCGTGCCCTGTGCCCGCGGGGCGCATTTGCCTCCGCTCCGCAAAGAAAACTAACAGTTAATGACTCCTTTCCCCATTTGCCTCCGCTCCGCAAAGAAAACTAACAGTTAATGACTCCTTTCCCCACCCGATGCCAGTGACCAGGAATTCGGGACCGGCCCCCGGGCCGCACCGGGGGGTGCGCGGGCAGCGCGGCGTCCCGGGCACAGCCGCGGGGCTGCCCCACCGGGCTCGGGGCGCTCCGGGCAGCCGGGGATCCTCCTCCTCCCTCGCCGCCGCCCTGCCCGCAGGGCCCCGCACTCCCCACCACCCCGAGCCCTCCGCGCAGGCCTCCCCGGGCCGGGCCCGCGCGGCCGCCTCACCCTGCTCCAGCAGATGACGTCGTCGCTGTCCGGGTCCTCCAGCAGCGCCCAGAGCTTGGCGAGAAAGCCGGGGACGGGCGCGGAGCCGGGGCCGGGGCCAGGGCCGGAGCCGGGGCCGGGCGCGGCGGGGCCGCGGGGCAGCGCGGGCGCCTCCCGCATCCTGGGGCCGGGCCGGGTCGGGCTGGGCTGCGGGGCCGCTGCGCGCACTGCGGGGCGGGGCCGGCGCGCGGGGCGAGCGCTCATTGGCGGAGACCGCCCAGCCCCGCCCCGCGGCCGCGAGCGTGGCTCTTGTTGTGCTCCCAGGGGAGCGCGCGGCTGTGTGACGTCACCGCGCGCATTTAAAGGGGCCCCCCAGCCCGGCCCCCCCCGGCGCCGCCCGCCGACTGTCCGGGGCTGCCCGGCCCTGCCCGGCCCTGCCCGGCCCTGCCCGGCCCTGCCCGGGCCTCCCCGCGCCTCCCCGCGCCTCCCCGCGCCGGCGGACGAGCCCTGGGCGGGGCGGGCAGGTGCGAGCGCGGACAGCGCTCCGCGCCTGCGGCCGGGGCGCTCTCGCAGGTGCGGGGCGGGGCAGCCCGGCCCCCACGGTGGGCGGGCGGTGCTGCGGGGCGGGGACTGCCGGGCCGGGGTGGGCTCGGTCCGCCCGCGGAGGCAGCGCCCCTTTGTCCCGCCCGGGTTCGTCCCCGTCGGTGCTCCCGCGTCTCGCTCCGCAGCCCCGTCGAGCCGCGTCCCGCCCGCACGTAAGGGACGAGCCGCCCCCTGCCTTCCCTCGGTGCTTTCCCCTCGCTCTCGGACAGGAGTTTTCCTGCAGTCAGGTGTTGGGGAACGGCCCCGCAGCGCCCACGCGGATCAGATGGGAGCTGCGTCCCACCAGCCCCACTGGAGTCTCATTTCCGTTCGTTCGCAATCCTTGTGCTGTTGGGGACCCGGCAAAGGGCAGTCCTGGGGGGAGGGTTCTGCTGTAAAATGCAAGGTTCAGGGATGAATGTAATACAAAGTTTGGGTTGGTTTTGGTTTTGTTTCCTTTTTTCTTTTCCTTAATCAAGGCATATATTAATATATTATTATCAAAGAAAAATTGAAAAAAATATTTTGAAAAGAATTTAAGGTTTTGGACCACCTTCACCTTGCACTAGTCGAGTAAATGGTGATTAGCCACTGGGAGGGGAATGTGAGCACAGACTCGGTCTCAGTTTTTGCATCTTCATTCAGGGATGTATTTTGCTGTACCGTAGAATTGCCTCAGAGGTGAGTGCAGTGTCGTGGTTAAGGTCTAGCCAGAGCCCAGGTGGGACTCTTTTAAAGAATCAGTAGGACTGTCTCACAGACTTGCCCTTGACTATTTTCAGTGCCAGAGAACACCACAGAGCAATTAGAATGCCAGGACTTCTGGCCGTTTGATGGGTGCTGTGGTGCTGCTGCACGGAGCAGGGGCTGTGCCGTGCAGGAATAGTGGGCTGGTGCAGGGGGTTTGTCTCCATCCCCATTTTTCACAACCAGCTTCGAGAGCTGCTGTTCACCCTGTTGTAAGGTCTGAGCTCTGCCCTTTCCTGGGGTGTGGTACTGCCTGCATAAACCATTGAGGTGGGAGAACGCAAAGACCAGTCCGCACTGGCTCCCTGGGCTCGGTGGCTCCCAGGCCTTGAGGAGGCCACCCCGTGTACTTTGCCCTGCACTGACACGAGGCCACAGCTTGGGCTGATGAGTCAGGAGCATCCCCTGCCCTTCCCTCGGGTGTGTGCCGGCGGGGGGGCAGGTTCCGGGCTGAGGGCTGGCAATGCTGGCTGTTTCCTTCTGCGCTGCCTTTTGCTGGTCTGCCGTGTGAAACAGCACAGGTACAGCTTTCTGAAGCCCTTCCTTTGAATCCTCCTTATTGGTACAGAGTGGATCAGAGCAAGTATTTCACCTCCCCATGATCAGTGGTGGGTCCTGGAGCAGCAGTAGCAGGGTATAATAAGGATGGTGTGTGGCAGTGGGGCTGAGCCAGTGATGCTGTTGTCCCCACACTGCTGGGGACACGGGGAAGGGGCTGCTCTGTATCTGAGCTTCTTAGATGTGTGACTAGGAGTTTCTGAAAGGGAGTGGCTGGTGGAGCCACTGGAGCAGAGCTATACTGTGTTGATGAATCAAAACCATTTCTGATTTAGAGATCCCTACGACCCCCTTCAGAGAAAGGTAGGAAAGAAGGCGTTTCCAAATTGAGAGTTGCTTTGTCTCAACTTCTCAATTTAATGACTATCTGGAATCAGCCATACTTGATTATCATTAGCTTCTGAGAACAGCACAGCACGTTTGAAAATCAGAAATGAAGCTTTGAAAGCTGTCTAGTCCATTGCTGGGCGCTGTGGTTGAATCCTGTCTGTTGGGTATCAGATGTGGTAAGAGGTTTCAAAGCTGCTATGTGCTATGCTGGCTGAAAGCTTACAGAATATCCAGCTTTGCTGCAGATAAACCTGATATATTCATGTTGCTGTTATAAAGATGGGGAGAATAAGTAATGACAGTCTCTTTATGAAAAAACCTTTGTTTGCTATGATGTTGCGTCACTATCCCCTTCTGTATGAAATTAAGGAAAACTGAGTCCTTTGAGCTTTCTTGTTAGGTCATGTTTCTCATTCTCTTGCTTTCTGTTTCTCTCTGCTGCACATGCTCTGAGTTGCTGTTATGCGTCTGAAGAGCTGGACATCTGGTTTAGGTACAGTTTGATTGCTGGTTACATCCAGCTTTGCTTAGGGTATCACTGGATAAGACCTTTCTTAAGCATTTCATCTGTTCTAACCCTTCCTTATCCTTTGGTGTAATTCTACTGTCCCATATTGCATCAGCTTCTCCTTATACAGGTGGCTTTTTGAACCTGTATTGGCAGAACTGTATTTTGATGATTTCAGACAGTTTCCCCAACTTTTCCCCAAATCTCTTCAGAGTATTTCTGGTGCTTGATCACACCAAGCTTGATGTCAATTGGAAGTATTATGAGTAAGCTACTTTGTGGTCATAATCGTGGAGAAAACATTTAATGGAACAAAAAGCAAAAAGCCTTGTGCAGCCTATTTGAGATGTACTCCTGGGTTACAGAGAACTGCTCTGTAAGATCCATCTTTAACGAAGTTAAAATTTAAAATTACTTCATAGTGACTAAGCTGTACTTCCTCAGGTGACTTAGAATAGAGAGATCTTGGCGAGAGTTTAAAATATACAGATATGTACTCAGGACTCTTTCCCTGAGCTTTGTATGCGGACCTGTAAGATGATTTGGAACATCAGCAGTGGTGAAAAGAGGGTTAATCAAACTATTATGAGAGCAGCACATTTGGTATTGGGGGCTCGTTAGCAAGGCAAGATCTCTACCCACCTTGTGCATTAATTCTGTTATGGAGTGATTTCCTTCTTGGATATTTGAAAAACAATCCCAATAGGAGTTACACCTGATTTCTTCATGCCCTCTCAAAATGTCCAGTACCTTCAACCTAGGTGATCATATTGTGTTTCATTGTCTTTGTTTTCCCAAAACAGGTGAAACCTCCAAAAGCACTTTCCCTTCAGGCTGTGATGGGATTGGTCTGGTGGTTGCTGCTCTGTGTCCCCACGCTGTCACCCATAATTGCTGAGGGTGTGACACGAGTCTATTACCTGGGGATCCACGAGGTGGACTGGAACTATGCTCCCACAGGGAGGAATGTGCTCGCTAACCAGAGTGTTGCTCATAACAGGTATGTTTGGCTCTGTCTAAGAGAATTTAATCTGGGACTGGCTTCAAATTGTCATTTGATGTGTAATTTTTTGCAAGTATTTTGGGGCATCTGAGCAAGCAAGAGATTTACTGATAGATTCTGATCTTTATGAGCTTAATGTTTAACTAGTTTTGTCATAGGAGCATAGAACCTGTGTCAGTGGGAAAAGGAATGGTCAGTCTGAAGCATCCAGAGCCCGTACACTGGAGGGAAGTGTACTGAAAACAAACACGGAACAGAACATAGAGCAGTTTGTTCTAAAATAGCGCAGATTGTGCAATGCTCTGCCCTGAGGTTTCATTTTGCTTAGTTCCAGCTGGTGATCAGCTTATGTATTCTGAGGCAGGATGACTTTTCATCATGATGTAAATGACTTCACAGAGACAGCTTTTTTGTTTCAATGGAATTTCAAGCCTTAGACTTAATGGAACTTCCTGCATGAGATTTTGTTTGAAAAATATTTTTGTTTTTCTTGCAAAAGTAAATCTGGAAACTGCTATAATTGCTTTGAGTCATTACAGGTTTCGGTTTTATTTTTCAAGGCACCAAACTTTTTTTTTTGGTGGGTGTTTTTTTTTTTGTGTGTGTGGTTTGTTTTGTTGTTTAATAGCTTTCCAAAGAATTTTGAAGGCAACTGTGCTTTTTCTGCCACCCTCATTTTCTGTGGTGAATAGCCGGTATTTCTTGACCTGCTCTCAGTCCTTAACCCCATCATAACAACTACCACTCGGGTTTATCTTTCAGAACCAGCACAGCAGGAAGAGGAGGGGTTCACAGAAACATGAGAGTCTGTTAGTTTAGCTTGGAAAGGTCTCTGTTCTCTGGAGATGCTGTATAGATGTAAATTAGTTCACAGGAACCCCCCAAAAATTCAGGATTAATAAAGATGTTATCACTGATTCCTGAAGTGATAGTAAATGCAGTGGTTTTTGTTTGCTTTCTCTCATAACACATGAACAAAAGGAAATGAAATTCAGGACTGTTGAACTTAAAAGGAATTTAAAAGCTGTTCTGTCGCTGCAAACAATTAGCTAATGGGACTTCTTTGTACAGTGATTGCAGAAATGAAATTGCTGCCAATTAGAAAGGGATGTGATGTCAATATGAACAACAGAGGTAGTAAAATATTTGAAGAAATGTTGTTGGGAAGAAGTGGACTGTGTGGGGAAAGACTCAAATCTGCAAAATGAATTGTGAATTAACTTAAACTCTTTGCAGATGATGGCTGCAGGGCTGACTTGGCAAAGGGCTGAGCTCTGGATTGTGTAGCTACAGCCCAGCCCTGCACCTTTTTGAATGAAAAGGGCTATGCTTAATATCTCGGTCTCAACTGTTCATGCTCTGAGACGTGTTAGAGTTTGCCTCCCTTCCAGGGCTGTTCTACTGCTGTGGTGATTGATCCAAAGGGGGAAGTTGGGGGAGTGACCTCAGCTCTCATTTAGGCTGGTTCCACTAATACCTGTACCATGATTCATCTCTTATCTATTAAGAATTAGCCATAAAGAGCAAATATGCTCATGAGTTGAACTTTAGTACCTGTATGAGGTTTTAACTCTGGAAGCTGCCCGACTCATCTGTCATTCTGCAAGGAATTCAGAATCTGTTAAGTAGAAAATAATCTTTCAGACTATCAATTTTGGCCAGAGAGCTCAGGAAACTTCCTCCCTGCTTTGGGATTTAGCTGCAAAGGCCAAAAAGAAATTGAAGTGAGTTTCTCAGAGCCCAGTGAAGGCTGAAGCAGGCATGAGAAAGGTCCTTCCTGCAACCCCACATGGGATTGTCAGGGAATCACCACCCTTCCTGTTCCTTGTTCGTAGGGCACAGTTTAGGGGTGCACTTTGTGTCCATTGGTGAAAGCTGAGGTTGAGGTCGTGGCCATGCAGAGGTGGCTTAGAGCATCCCAGGGTCCTCTAATGCCCAAGTTTTCAGCTGTACCTGGGAAAGTGGAGTGTCAGCATCACTGTACTGTGTTATCAACCAGCTGTTGGATATAACGATGCCTTTCCCTTTGAATTTAACAGCCAGGCCGCAGCATTCCTCCAGCCTGGGAAAGACAGGGTGGGAAGCACGTACAAGAAATCTGTCTATAAGCAATACACGGACTCCACGTACACCACTGAGATCCCCAAGCCTGGCTGGCTGGGGTTCCTTGGGCCTGTCATCCGAGCAGAAGTGGGGGATACCCTTAAAGTACACCTAAAAAATTTTGCTACTCGACCGTATACAATCCATCCTCATGGTGTTTTCTACGAAAAGGACTCCGAAGGTAAATGAGCCACTGCCATCATGGAGACAGATTTTACTCACTGGGAACTTAGGAGTATGTGTGGAGGAGAGCTGTCTGTAAAGCCCCAGCTGGAAAGCAACTGCACTTGGTTGGTGTTGGGTTAGCAGGGTCGGGGGACTGTGAGTAGTTTCCTGACTTGCACATTGCAGTACACGGTCCAGGCTTCTTGGTTTTAGAAGAACTTCCAAAACACTGATTAACCCTAGAGATTGTAAAGAGGCTGACTGTGGGGGCACAGTGCAGAATTGAAGGCAAAGTAGCACTAGGCAGAATGGAAATAATCTTGCTGACTCTGTGCTGCCCATTTACTGGGCAAGTTGCCTTACAGTGGCTCTGTGCCTCAGTGTCTTTTGAGGGAGTGATGATTAAACACTGTTTCAGCCTTGGAATGGTGAGTCTCACTTTGAAATCTGCTACCCAAGTACATACATCCAGGTCTGTTGAGTGAGGGTGGCTCAGTAGAAGGTTTCACGTGTGGGCATCTCAGCTCTTCTTGAATGGATGTTGTGATTGCTCAATTGTTCCAGGATCCCTGTATCCCGATATGTCCCCCCAGGATCAGAAGAAGGATGATGCTGTTTTCCCAGGAGGGAATTATACCTACACTTGGACTGTCCCTGAAGATCACAGCCCAACTGCTGATGACCCAAACTGCTTGACCTGGATCTACCACTCTCATATTGATGCACCAAGGGACATTGCGTCTGGATTGATTGGGCCGTTACTTACATGTAAAAAAGGTAAAAAAAATCATGAAAAAGCAGCTGAGGGCTGCAGTTTTGTAGTGTAAAGGTTTTGTGGTGACATGAATAAGGATAGGTTGTGAAGATACTCTGGTGGGCATCTCCCAGCTTCAGGGGAAAATCAGCTTGGTTAGAGAAGACAGTACTTGTGTTCTAGCAGGGTTCTGGTCATCGTGTTGTCTTTATCCATTACTGGCAGGGCAGATGAGCTTGCAGGCCTCTTGATCTAAGAGAGCTGCTTGAATCCATGTTAAATGCAAGACTCTTGTCCAAGATACAGTTTATGTATTAAAAATATGGTGACTGATTTCAGCAGGATTGAGAAGACTGAAGGTGTTGCAGCGGAGCCATGCAGTGGCAGAGCCGCTTGGGAGAGAGAACTGTATTGGCAGGGGTATATTGGAAAAGGGTGAGGATGGTGGAAAAGCATCTGCCTCAAATTCATGTAACAAGTGTGTCTCTGCTATTGCTGTTTTAATCTCTTGCCTGATGTATGATTTTTCTGCATTCATTCCTCTCTCCTTTTCCCTCAGGAATACTGACTGGCAGCTCTCAAAGGCGCCAGGATGTGGATGTTGATTTCTTTCTGATGTTCAGTGTGGTGGATGAGAACCTAAGCTGGTACCTGGATGAGAACATAGCATCATTCTGCATAGATCCTGGCTCTGTAGACAAAGAAGATGAGGAATTCCAGGAGAGCAACAAAATGCATGGTCAGTGTCAGCTTTGCAAGGCCATTGACTCTGCCAAGACACTCAAGGGTGTCAGTGCTCTGGGATCTGCTCTGAGATCATGTGCTGAGCAAATGTCACAGGGATGGGGCAACAACTCCAGAAAAAGGAAGTATTGTTTTGATTTAATCTTTGGCTTGAGTGAGCTTTTATACCTTTCGTTTTAGGAATGAGCTGTGGAACTAGGCTCTCCAAAACAGAAGAGGAGGATGAGTTCTGGTTAGGTGCATCCTCCCATTATGTCTGTGCTGTGACCTGCTGGTAGGAGCTTTGAAAGCCCCGTTTCTGCTCTCTGATTCTGGCTTGTTTGGTTTTGCAGCTATTAATGGTTATGTGTTTGGCAACCTGCCTGAGCTGACGATGTGTGCTGGGGATGATGTTTCATGGCACCTCTTCGGGATGGGAAATGAAATTGATGTTCATACAGCCTTCTTCCATGGAGCAACACTCAATATCCGAGGCCACAGGACAGACGTGGCCAGCCTCTTCCCAGCCACTTTTGTTACAGCAGACATGATCCCCAGTAACCCTGGGAGATGGCTGCTGAGCTGCCAGGTCAATGATCACATACAAGGTAAGGCAGAAGGTGGAATATGACCTGGACTCTGTGTCGCCTGTTTTTTTCTGTCAGTGTGGTCCTGTGATGTACAGTGTAGTTGGGGACAGTGCCTTGAGCATGAAAACATCTCCAGATGAGTGGGTTATTCCTTGTCTTGTATAAATTGGAGTGGGCTGATTATTAATGTGCAGGGCAGCCTTGGTGAGGGTGATTTGTACCAGAGTATGATGTTCCACATTTGGTACAGCTGAAAGCTGAGATGAGGCAGTGCCTTAAGAGCTCTGGTCCCTGTAAGGGGTACTTGCATGGTAGAGCTGAGGGCAGCAGAAGGCTCCAGTCACTCTCTATATATGCTTCCATAGCGTCCAATACCTAAGGTTGGAAGCTCTGCTCACTGACAAACTCCTTGCTGTGGGAACTACCTACTCTCCTTCCCCCCTCCACGTGCCTTTTGGAACAGCAGAGGGAAGGAGTCCAATTGGTGGTGGGAAGGTGGGACTGTGTCCATTGGCCATCGGAGAGGGGCTGAGGGGGCTGAGTGTGCATGTCCTCCATGTCTTGGACAGCTGGAATGGGAGCACTCTATGAAGTCCGGCCCTGTTCTCGGCAAGCTCTGCCATCCACCCTGGAAGGGAGAGTTCGGAAGTACTACATAGCTGCCAAGGAAGTGCAGTGGGACTACGGACCCTCAGGGCTCGAGCAGAGCAGTGGGAAGCGGCTGAGTGAGGCAGGCAGGTAAGCGAGAGGCTGATGGGTTTGGGCAGTGTTTGGGGGCTCTGGCCTGTGTCAGGAAACCTGTTCAGGAAAACGTGAAATTTTTTTCTTTTCGAAATACATGCCTGCAATTCGCATGAAGTACATTTCCTGGGAAGGCAGATCACCCTGTCTGGAAAGGGAGGCTGCTGTAGCCAGACCACACTGAGTAGTACAGGTACCTCGGGCCTTCCCGTGGGCATGCTGTGTGGCACAGCCATACCCACAGGCAGCAGGAGTCCTAGCAGATGTACAACATGAGCTGTCATGTTTACCTCTGGGCTTCATTTCTGCTTGCTGTGCCTGACCTAGGAACAGATCTTTGTATTTAAGGAATGGTTCAAAAAGCCCCTGATGCAGCTGACGCAGGTGGCAGAGCTGACCTGTGGATGGGCCTCAGGGTGGCCTTGCTGCAGGAAGCAGTTTCTAGGAAATCAAATGCAGGGACCTGGGTGGCAGCCCTCTATTCCATGATCAAGTGGCTGTGATAGCAGTTGGTGAGAAGTTTCCCCTTCAGGCTTTGGCTAACTGAAACAGAAATTCCTCTCCCTCCGCTCCCTTCCCTGGGAAGCTGCTGGAGAGGATATACTTCATTCAGATGGAGAAGGAGAAATGCAGAGCAGTTAATTATTTACCCAGTGCTGTGCAGCAACTTTGCAGACCTTAGAACTGAAAGCTCTTTAGACCTGTGAGCTGACATTGTAACTGTGCTGCCTCTCCTGCAAGGCTTGCTATGTCTGTGTTTGGCGAGGGTGTTGGCAGAGGAAATAAATCACTTTACAGCTGTTTATTTTAGCTATGATTGTGGCCGTCCCCTGGGCTGTCTACAACCTCTAAAGAGCTTGGTCTTTTAGCACTGCCTTCCCAATGACTCCTTTACACATCCGATGTAGAGGTGCTGATCACAGCTGTGCCACCGAACCTGGCAGGTTCAGCTGGGAGAGGGCTGTGTGCCACAGGTGCTCTCTGGACAAGTCTGTAGGGATAAAAAAAGCTTTGAAGAGTCGAGGGTGTGCTGGTTCCAAACTAGAGGTGCTGTCCGTGTCTGAAATGCTGCTTGATTTGGAGATGTTGCTGGTCTTGCCAGAGGGAGGGGGAGGGGGAGCAGGGGAACACGACTGAATATTTTTTTTTTCCTATGAAATAACCTGACATTTGTTTTTTGCATTTAGCCCTGCTGAGCAGTATTTCAAGCGTAGCCTCTACCGCATTGGGGGTGTCTACTGGAAGGCAAAGTATGTAGAGTACACTGATGAGAGCTTCCGTGAGGAAAAGCAGCAATCAGAAGAAGAGAAACACCTTGGAATACTCGGTGAGAATCATCCAGGAACGCAAATCCTCTGTCAGCGTTGGTGAGAAGGATGCTGATGCTGGGAGTGCCAGTTAGCTATACCTGCCCTCTTGTTTTGGGGGCACAGAGGTGCTTCACAACAGTCACATCTGAGAGCGAGTGGGACAGGCGAAGGTGGGAGGTGGTAGAACAGACAGAATTGCTTCAGAGCTGATTCTTAAGGTATCTGAGGGACACAGTGTAGTATTTGTGACTAAAGCTAAACAGGTCACAGCGGTAGCTCCTGGTTAACATGTTTTTGACTGAGTCCCTTCAAGGCCTGCTGCAAACCCCATGTTCTCACAGAGACCTCTCCTGAGTGGTGCTCTCTGTCACAGCCGAGTGTGCACATAGAGGCAGCCTGGCTCCTCAGCCCCTTCTGTGTCCTTGGGATGCTCTGTGGACCCAGGGCAGGTCAGGGGCTGGTTGGGACAGGCATGGTAAAGGCTTGGTGTTCCTCTCTGGCTGGCTGGAGCAGGGGCTCACAGACTGTGGTGAGCTTGGAGCATCTCACATCTCTGAGGCACACGTGTTGGGAGGCTGAGGGGGCCTTGTGCAGTGGGAGAGAGACCTGGGCCTTTCCCGAAGGCATTCCAGCACATCTGGCTGTTCTGTTACTCCCCCTGTGAAGGCCTGACACCTCTGAGTTCTCCCGCAGACCCAAAGTGCTTTCAGATGACCCTTGCCAGTCCCTGCTCCCGCTGAGCTCCCTTCAGCAGCCAGGGCACCCACCAGCTCTCCTCCTTAGCCCCTGCAGCCTGGGGGAAGGTGCCACGGCTGCTTTGGTTTGCCTGGTGGCCTGGGGAGGTGCTCTGTTGCTGATCTGTTCTCTCTGCTATTTTCTAGGTCCAGTGATCAAAGCTGAAGTTGGAGACACCATCCTCGTGACGTTTTTTAACAAAGCTTCCTGGCCCTTCAGCATCCAGCCACACGGAGTGTCCTATGGAAAGGCGTGGGAAGGGATGTGGTACCATGACGGTTGGTGGATCCCTTTTCTTGAGTACACCCACATCACCCTTCAGAGGTGCTGGGTGTTTTGGTGACATGAACAAAGTAAAGCCTGCTATGAATGTAGCTGGTGAGAAGGTGTAACTGAGGTTTTGCAGGGACCTCAGGAATAATCCTGTAATCCCTGTTTTAAAGGCCTGTCCCAGAATGGGATGTCTGTGGCACCACTGCACAACTTCACATACCGCTGGACTGTGCCCAGGCATGTGGGGCCCACGGCCAGTGACCCTCCCTGCCTCACCTGGATGTACAGCTCAGCTGTGAACCCTGTCAAAGACTCCAGCTCGGGCTTAGTGGGGCCTCTGCTCATCTGCCAGCCAGGCACTTTGGATGACAACAACAAACAGGTAAAGGGGTTTATCTGCCCTGCTCCTACCAGATTCTTTGCTTTCATGTAGAGAAAGAAAGTGTCAGCAAAACACTAGGGAACGTAATGAAAACAAATATGCAATAGTGAAAGTCCAGGAGAGTCAAATCAAAGCCATGGGTCAGGTTAATGCTGGGACAGCTGGTGCCGAGGTCTAGCCTGGGAAAGGCCAGTAGTGTTCTGGGCTCCCAGGGGCTGCCCTCAAAATGGTTTCTGAGCTCTGCTTTAAGTTCATAGATGAACTTGGCTAAACAATTGTAACTTGGAACAGTTACCTTATAGGTAACTCTTGTCCTGGGGCTTGCGTAGCAGGCTGCTTTCAGAGGGATGTGGAATACTCATTGCAATCCCAGAAACATTGACAAGACATTTTCACTTACAGGTGTTTTGCTTGGGTGATACAATGCTTTGTTTGATACAGTGCTTTGTTTGGATGAGCCTTGTTTATTCTGCAAGAGAAGTTCATTTTCAAGCAGAGCTGACCACAAAAAAGCATGTGAAAATCCATGTCAGTCTTTATGCTTTTGATGAAGGAGGGGTGAAATCTGAAGGGCAAACAGAACTTCCTCTTGGAATTTCACTCAGGGATAGTCCATTCCTGGAAATAAGCCTGGGGAAGATAGTAAATTGATATCTGGGGGAGATGCCAGACAGATGAGCAGAGGGAGAGCCTTGTTGTGAAAGAAGCAGGCAGCAGATAAACCAGCACTGCCGTCCTGCGGCAGCGGGGAGCGGGGACGGGTCTGGGGACGGCTGCCCCCGGAGCCTCCTGGGGGGAGTTCACATGCAGTGGGGGCACCATGGGACTAAATTAGGAGTGCAGAAGAGATCAGCACACTACCCAGGGTGGAATGTGGATCTGCTGAGCAGAGAGATCGGGAATACGTGCAGCCCATGTGGGCAGGTGTTGGAAGGGTGTAAGCAAAACAGGGATGGACCTGTTTGTAAAGATAGGACAGAGAAAAATCACCTGGGGTGGCAGTTCTGGCTCCACAATCTTAGGCAACTCTTTAATGAACGCTTAATTGTGGAAGGTGCATGGCCACTCCCCTGCACCTGTGTGCCGCAGTCTGAGAATTGCTTCACCTTCTTGGCAGGCCAGGTGCCTTGGCACTGCTGGGAACAGTGACACCAGAGCGAGAGTCTGGACACCACCAGGATGTTCTTTTAGTGAGGAAACACCATGTTTTGGAGTGCATTTTGTAGGAGAATTAACACTTGAAAGGATTTAGGGTAATTAAAAAAAGCCCTAATTCCAGCCTGTGGTAGGAGGCAGGAAGGGTCGAGTGTGTCCATCAGCCGGCCTCGTGTCTGGGCTCTGGTCTCAGGACTGGTTTGCACTGACACCTAAATTTACAGCTGAGGGGGAAGGGGGCAATGACTTCATGCCCTTGGCTGAGTTTTGATCAGTTTATTCATGGAAGTGTCATGGAAAATGCAAAAGTGGTGCCTTTTGTGAAATAAAAGAGGAACATTCAACATGAATAAAGGGACAGAGTCCTGGCCCTCAATGAGCCAGGTTTTAAGGTAAAGGGGGACATAAGAGCCAAGCAAGACAGCTTTAACTCTAAGGGTAGTTAATTGGTGTGTTTTAAAAATTAACAGCCATCATTGTAATTATAGAAAGGGATCGACAGAGAATTTTACCTTCTCTTCAGTGTGTTTGATGAGAACCTCAGCTGGTATTTAAATGCCAACATAAAGTACTACTTGAGAATGGAAGAGACATCTGTAAAGAAGGATGATGGCTTCAAGGAATCCAACAGGATGCATGGTATGGTTGGATGCTGCTCTGTGGCAGCAGGGATGAACTTGCAAAGCACTGGGTGATGCTCACCTAAAGGCTGAGCTGGGGGCTGGAGGGGCTGTGTGGTCTTGACCTGGAATCAAACCAGCCTGGAGGCAGCAGGTGGGGTGTGGACAAGCAGCCCAGCTGTCTGGGGAAGTGTGTGCTGAGTGTACTCAGGGGTGAATTGCAAATAAATTACCCTTCCTTCCCATGCCAGGCCTGTTCTTTGTATGCTGAAAATGAACCTCCTGGCTGATACCTGCCTGCAGAGAGTTAATTGCTTTCTCCTTTGCAGCCATCAATGGATTTATGTTTGGTAACTTGCCTGGGCTGGATATGTGTGATGGAGACAAAGTGTCCTGGCACCTCCTGGGCTTGGGCAGTGAAGCGGATGTGCACGGAGCTGTGTTTCAGGGAAACACCCTGCAGATGAACGGCATGCGGAGAGATTCAGCCAATCTGTTCCCACACACGTTTGCCACTGCCTTCATGCAGCCAGATAACAGCGGTGAGTGCTTGCACAGCTGCCCAGGCAGATGGAAGGGTCTCCCATTGTGGTATTTGCCCCTGTGGCAGATTCTCTAGCATGGTGTCAACTCTTACAGGGTGAGCTGTGCTTCACGTGATTATTGTGTAAGAAAGCTTCCTGCAACGATTTTTGTGTAGGACTTTGTCGTGCCATTCCTTCTTGGTTTCTCTAGTGACTCCTTTTAACCTTGGCCTGTGGCAACCAAGCTCCCTAAACACCACACAGATACACCCAGCACATACTGACACTGGCTGGCAAAGCACCTGTTTCCTGGAATCTTCAAAACCAACTGATTTCTTTGCTCATCCTGCCTCCCTCAGGGACTTTTGAGATCTACTGCCAGACGAGCAATCACTACCAGTATGGGATGAGGGAACAATATGTCGTTTCCAAGTGTGGAAAGAGGGACCCTGCTCCTTCCCGTCGGTACACGGGAGTGCGGACGTACTACCTCGCGGCGGAGGAGGTGGTGTGGGACTACGCGCCCGACCGGAGCTGGGAGAGGGAGCGGCACAACCACTCTGAAGAGAGGTAGAGCCCAGCTTTTAGGGAAACCTGTGGCAGTATCCCAGCAGACCCTGATGGAGCCTGTCGGGTGTCTTGGCCAACTTGTGACCTGGTGCATGTGCTGGTGGTGCTGCCGATGGGAGCGCAGCCCTCCGAGTCATTGTGCTCTCCATTGCAGCCAAAGCTGGCTCTGGGAAATCCCTTCAGCTGTGGACCCCCTGCCACAGCTTAGTTGCTTACTCCCTGTGAGGTTTTGTGTATTCAGCACTCGTTCTGCATTTCTCAGCTACGCCGACGTGTTTCTGAGCAACGAGAACGGACTGCTCGGCTCCAGGTACAAGAAAGCGGTTTACAGGGAGTACATGGATGGCACTTTCCAGACCCCCAAGGCCAGGAAAAGTGGTGACGAACACCTAGGGATCCTGGGTAAGGGTGTGTGTAGAGGGTACACCTTCTGCTCACACAGCAATGGGACTGGGGCTCTAGAGCTGCAGTGGCTCAGGGCAGTAATCTGAGAGCCCATTGAATATTTAGGCATCTGCTGTGTATGCAAGTGAGGAGAAATTGTGACTGTCTCCTGCCCACATCTGCCAGCTTTGGAGACAACAGTTAGAAGGGTCCTAAGCACAGCTTGTAGGAAAGCCTAGTGACTAATCAAAGTCTGCAGAGACCCAGTTCTGTTTTTATTGTGTTACAAACCCAAGGCTGTAAGTGGTGGTAGGGCAGCCAGGCTGAGGCAGCAGCTGCCACTCAAAATAGGCTGCAGCTCTGATTTGTGACATTGTCAGGCCAGGTTGAATATTACCACATTTTTTGAAACCAACAGCAAGGGATGATCAACATGTTGCGACACTTAGCACAACAGTATTCAGAAATCAAGCCTTAGTTGTGCTGGGCCCAGTTAGGATGTGTAACCACCTTCATTGCCCTCATTGTGAAACTCAGTCCAGTTTCCTAAGACTTGGATTGGGACTGACGTCCAATTCTCTTTTTGGGAAGTAGAGAAGAGGGAGGGGAACATAATAAATATTATAAGGTAATATCTCCGGGGAGATGTTGAGGTGGGAGTATCCTGGGAGATGTGCTGATGGATTTTGCTGGTCTCAGCCTATGTTCTTGCTGTCTCAAGGTCCTTTTCTGTGGGCGGAAGTGGGCGAGATTCTCAACGTGGTGTTCAAGAACAACGCCTCGCGGCCCTACTCCGTGCACGCACACGGGGTGCTGGAGCCGCACGCAGGGCAGCCCCAAGTGGCAAATCCCGGTAGGTCCCTGTCTCCAGTTTTCCTCTGTGGGCTGGCACAGCTGATTTTAGCCCAGAGCCTGACTGGCTTACTTAAGCAGCCTCAGATGTCCTGATTTTCTTATGACAGAGAACTGGAACTGAACAGTAACTGGTCTTTCAGGTCCAGCATGGTTTTGGTGGTACCATTTGTGTGGGAATGACAGCCTTGGGAGTTCACATTCTGCTCAGACTTCTAGGATAAGTGTATGACAGAGTTCTGTGTGCAGCTTTATTCCCCCACACCGAGTGTGGTCCGTCTGCGAGAAGGGGAAGGTGGTGGCAGGTGACAGCTTAGCCAGTCCTTAGTAGCCATGGCATGGGAGAAGCCTGCTCCTCTTCTTTGGGGGATGTATGAGCACAATAGTATGAAAAAGCAGAAATGCACAATTGCTTGCCAGGATCAGACTGAAATTGCCACTTTGTTTCATGATACAGATGCCAATGTGTGTAATTTTTGATCCCCTCCAACTTGCCCAAGCTGTTCAAGCCACAGCCAGGCTGTCGGCTGGGTCATGTCTTTCTGCAATGGATTACTAATGTGCAAAAGAGTAATTTTAAAAACCAATTTGAACAAGCATCATAAATACACTTCAAGAATAGGAAAGATCACCTCAAGCCCCATCTGAATGAAGAGAGGTGGAATTTCCATGGCCAGGTCCAGTCTCAAAGGCAGCAGATAAACCTGAGTTGTGCTGGTACCAGACAGTGTGTGCATCCTGTGACCCCTCTGCCTTGCTGCAAGAGGGGAGCTTCTACTCTGCTTTCAGTGTTTGGGGAAGGAAGATGAAATACCTGAAAAACAGAATTGAATTTGGTCTTTGGAGGCAGGATTTTCTTTTTCTATCTTGCTTTGCTGTTGCTCGGTGAGTGGGTGTGTCACCTGGTGTGATGTGCTGCTCTGTCCCTCAGGTGACATTGTGACATACCGGTGGGAAGTTCCTGAGAGATCTGGTCCAGGGCCGAATGATTCAGCCTGTGTTCCTTGGATCTACTACTCTGCGGTGGACACAGTAAAGGTAAAATAGAAGTTAGAGCCAGAAAAGCCCAATTAGACCAATTTTTTACCCCATCTAGAAAACAATGTGAGTTGGGTACAATTTAGAGATTGGTCCAGCCAAGAGGTGGAACCACTTGGTAACACGTCCAGTGTTCTCCTGGGAGAGGAAATCTTCCAAATTTATCCTGATGTTTGTCCTTATTTTTTCCTAACAAACCTTCATAAAACAATTCCACTGTCTCCTTGCCACTAACCTTCCTTCAGTTATTTGCAGGATATTAGAACATCTCCCTGTCAGTCATGGTTTCTATTGGTGAGAGCCCTAGGGCTGATCTAGAAAGGCAGAAATTATCCAAACTGAGGTCTCATGGATAAAGCCGGAAGATTTGACCGTTGCTAGAATTGATTGTCATAGTACTGATTCCACAGGAGATAAAACCTGGAGGATCCTGCAATAAACCATCACATTCAAACCAGAAGTAGTGGCCTTTCTATCTCAAATTGCAGATATCTTTGCAGTCGCAGAGTGGAGACTGTCTTGATACCATTCATGTTTATGACTTTTAGATTTACACTTGTAAGAGCATCAATGGTTCCTGTGTTTCGGTGGCTGATGCTCTCTAACAAGGCTGCTTGCACAGCAGCACCAGGTTTTTTAAGTGGGGTGATGCAGGAACAGAAAATGATTGTTGAAAGGCAAAGAACTGCATACGAAAGAGGGTGAGAAGGTCCTTGCCTCAGAGATTTCTCCTTCCTTCTGATTAGGATATGTACAGCGGGCTGATCGGGCCCCTGAAGGTCTGCCGGAGAGGGGCCCTGCGGTCCGATGGCACCAGGAAGGATGTAAAGAGGGAGTTTGCTCTGCTGTTCCTGGTTTTTGATGAAAATCAGTCCTGGTACTTGGAGGAGAATGTGGAACATTACAGTAAGGGCAATCACAAGGAGATCAGCCTGATGGATGAGAAATTTGTGGAAAGCAACAAAATGCACGGTAATGCCAGTCGGTGTTAACTCTGCAGCCTCTCTAAGTAGTCAGCCACCCAAAACCCAGGAGCCTGACTCCCAGTGAATGTCCTCATCCTTTTCCCTAATCAGTGGCACAAACAGAATTAAACTGTGTGTTCTCAATACTGTAGCACATCTACAGCCCAAATCTTTGATCTGCAGTGAGGGCTGATCATTGTGGCTGTTCCTGTCAGGAGGAATACAACATCCAGGCCAGAGAGGTTAATCTCCGATGTGTCTGAGTGACTCAGGAAAGGAAATAAAATCAAACATGAAATTAACTTATCAGACTAATTTAATTCTGTTTGTCTCAGGGACCATCAGAATGTTAGATTTCAAATTAATTTTCTGAGCTATGTGGCTGCAATACATGGCTCAGTTGTGTTAGCTAATTATCAAAAAGCTATTTCTACCATGACAGGATGAACATTTTTCTAAATTAGCATGTTATTTATGTTAGGGTTTTTTTGATATTATATCTGGATCTATCTATTCTCAGCAAAACAGGTCCCTTAGCAGTTGTGGAGATAAGAGTAGCGAGGAGTGGCATTATGTGTGCTGACATTACTACTGGTTTTGTATGGCTGAGATAAAGACTCTCCAAATACACGTGTCCATGAAGGTGTAATTGTTAACTCAATATTACAGCTAGCAGAACCAGCAGGCTGAAGTTGGATGCTTGTTTGAGGCTACACAAAGTGCCTGTGGGAGATCTGGGAGTAAAACCCTGGTGCTCTGCCCTTAGACCCTGTCTCTTTCCATCCTGTTCCCTCTGTTGTCATCTGAGCATGAAAATGGAAGTCTGTGTGTGCCATGGCAGTCAGCTAACTCACTGTTTGGATCCCTTTCCTGCGTGCACAGTCACAGCAGGATTCCTTCCAGCTGTGCTACTTGAGAGATAAAGTCCTGCCATGCAGGGATTTTACAAGTGGTTGGAGTGTGACATGTGTGGCCAGGCTGAGGCACGGCACCCCAAGGCTGCCCCCTGGCAGGATTTACCCCTCGTCATTGTTCACTAAGGGAGGTGCTCAGGCATTTGGGGGTATGTAGGTATATACATGTTTCTCCATCACTGGGCTAAGGAGGCCATTTTTATGCATCTTGACTTCTAGAGGCAACCACTTCTGCTGGCTGACTGCAGGTTTACACCAAGAGGTAGTTTTTGAGATTTATTTGAGCTGAGCTACAGCATGGCCTTGGGTGTGAGTCACTTTTCCTGGCTGTAAGCAGAGTGGAGAAGTAGCTGAGCTGGGGACAGACTACCAAACTCTTGGGGGACTGTCATGTGGGGAACACTAACTGCTGATGCACTGGTGGCTTTATGAGCTTTGTTGCCTGTAACTTGCCCTGCATGTTCTTCCTCTGAGGTGGTGCAGCACCTTTACCATTTCACTAACAGCCTTTTCCCCTTTGTGTTATTTACTGCACAGCAATCAATGGCAGGCTCTATGCCAACTTGCCTGGGCTGACCATGTACCAGGGAGAGCGGGTGAACTGGTACTTGCTGGGAATGGGTCAGGAGATTGATGTCCACACAGTCCATTTTCATGCTGAGACCTTCATATACAAGGTAAGAATATCTGCTGACATCAGCACTTTTGCTTTACTCTGGACTTGAATTTTTTGAATGACTCCACAGCAGTTTCACCCAGCTAGGAAAGGGATGTGGTTTTACACATCGCAGTCTGACTCCCTGAACCTCTGTGTTGTGCTGAGATGTCCAGCTTAATTCTTGTTAGGGTTAGGCATTACCAGATTGTGTTTGCTTTCCCAGCTGCAGCCCTGGAGCTGCTTTCTGAAAGCTTTTTTTTTTTTGAGCTTTAAAAAGCTGAAAAAGTCCCTAGTGACACTGGCGGAGTTTTCCTCCTGAGAAGATGCAGAGAGCACTGCAGCTAATGGCCTCTCTTCTCTGACAGAATGGCAAAAGCTATAGAGCAGATGTTGTAGATCTGTTCCCTGGGACCTTTGAAATGGTGGAGATGCTGGTTGGGAACCCTGGGACCTGGCTGCTTCACTGTCATGTGTCTGACCATATCCATGCTGGGATGGAGATCCTCTTCACCGTCCTGCCTAGAGCAGGTAGGGAGCTTTCACTGTTACTGTAAAACATCCAGCAGCACTTTCTGCTACAGCTGCAAAATTCTGAGTGTTTGCATCACATGTACAACGCCCTTACATACTATAAGCAGCCAGGTAATGGAGCAGTTAATTACTTAAGTATAGTTAATTTAGGATGTTCCCTTTGAATATCCTAATACTTGGAGCTGGAGTTAATAACAAATTGTTTTCTGGATTTTACATTGCCTATGTTGTTATTGTGAGTTTGATTTTAGCTTGTATCAGAGATGCAACGTTCAGCCCTCAGCCAGTAATTGTTCTAAGAGCTGGAAGGTGCTCAGAGGTGAGTGTCACTCAGTACTGGGTTTGGCTGTGACGGAGTCGACATGGTGATGTGGTTTTAGATTTGTTACCAATCTAAAGAGCTGTGAAGGCCCCAGTGGTGTTCAGCTGTGGGTGACCAGTGCCTGCCCAGTGTCAGTGTCATCTGTGTTTCTTCCTCAGCACTTTTCTTTCAAAGGCTGGGAAGGGCTGCGGGTCGGGGGCTGCCTCTGAAGCAGGCGATACATGTTCTTGTCTCATGTGGAGAGGGAAAACACTGACAGGAGAAAAGAAAACCTGCAAGCCCTGGAAACCAGGCTGCCTCTAGATCTGATCCTCACCAGATGTGCCCTGTTCTGAGCTCTGCCTGCTCAGCCCAACACCTTCTCACCCTCCTTTTGTTTCCTTTCAGAGTCAGAGCTGGAAGTCGAGAGCGTTACTGCAGGTATGGTGTGGACAGCGCTGCCAAACCCTGTCTGTGCAAGGGGGAGAGGCAGATTCCTCAGCAGCACAGAGCTTTGGATGGTGCAGGGGGAGGGAGGAGCACCCACAGCACCCACAGCCTCTGCTCTGCCAACCTGGCAGCATCTCAGCCCAAGGCCTGGCTGCGATGGATAGCGGGGAGAGCTCCAGGCTGCTTTGTTTATCTGCCTGCCAAATGTCTGTGCCCTGGGATAGAATTAAGGAAGTTGGGCTGGTTAGGCTTGTTTGTTTGTGTTAGGTGGAAAAGTTTAGAGGACCTGCCCCCTGTTGTGTCTGCGTGTGCGGATTCAGCTTCGTAGGAGAGTGTGAGCTTAGGAACTGGCAGAGACTCAGAGAGTGTTGAAGGAGAGTGCCTGAGTTGCCCACCTGTCTTGGACTGTCAGTGACTCTGTGGTTTAGGGAAGTTTCACCATCGCCACTACAAGCTGAAGGGATGGAGTCAGCATGAAACAAGCACATTTGCCTTCTGCTCTGATATTCCCCTGAGAAAAGAGCCCAAGCAGGTGCCTGGGTTTTTTTGGGTGTTGTAAAGGACAGATGTGAGAAGACATTTGAGCAGCACCAGCAGTAGATACAATCCCTTTGAAATTTTCTGTGTAAAAGTCTGAGTAGTTTAGGGTGGTGGTTTATTTTCCTGATTTTTCATATTTCTTCACAACCCACTGATAATATCTTATTGTTTGTCTCTCAGGGTTGCCATATGAGGATGAGGATGAGTTCCAGAAGATCATGCTTTTTGGATCTAAGGTGGCCCAAGGACAGATAGAGGCCACAGTCATCGCTCTGGCTGTTGTAGGGATCCTGCTGCTCCTGGCCACCAGCATCCTCCTGGGAGCTGTCATCCATCTCGAGAGGCAGAAGAGGTTACGACGCAATCGGAGATCCATCCTGGATGACGGATTCAAACTCATGTCTCAAAAGAATCCAGGGCTCTAAAAGCCACATACAAACATTGGGCTGTGTGATTGGAGCAGGGGCTGGATCCTTGTCCACAGAAAAGATTTTGGGGCATCATTTCAATTGTGCACTGTACTTCTAGAAGCTGAGGTGGGGAAGCTGGAACCCTGACTTCTTCATATTCTTTCCAGAGAGGGTAATCAGGCATTGGAATGGGCTGCCCAGGGAAGTGGTGGATTCTCCATCCCTGGAGGTTTTTAAGATGAGACTGGATGTGGCACCAGTGCCATGGTCTGGGAGCCACGGTGGTAGTGGATCAAGGGTTGGACTCTGATCTCAGAGGTCCCTTCCAACTCAGCTCATTCTATGATTCTATGATATATCCTTCTCAGCCCTTTGTAAAGAAAATGTCTGCCCAGGAGGCATCCAAGGGCCCTTTGAACTGACTGAAGACAAGTAACGAGTGAAAAAGGTCCTTCTTAAATACTCCTCTTCCCCAAGAAAGAAGGGAGACATTTTCTTCTCTCCAGAACAACTCCACTTGGTCTTTCCTAGCAGACTAGCTCAGGCCCCATTCCAGTCTTGCTCCATTGCCAGAACTGAGTTGGGAATTGTCTCCCAAAAAACTGTGAGCCATTAAAGTAATTAATGTAAAGGGGGGGAGGTAATATTTTCAGTTTTGTGAATCAATTAAGAATACAGAAGAGAAATTGTTAATTTAGAGTTGGATTGCTGTTTTTTGATGAGCAAGTGGGCCGACACAAATTCAGGGTAGTGCACGTCACGGTGAGTGCCCCATCAAGGACCATGACAAGAGCTGTGCCTCACTGTCAGCCTTGCTGTGACATGTCCTTCAGCCTCCCTGCAAGCCCTGGGGTGCCTTTGGATTGGGGTCAGGCACCTCCTACTCCCTATTCTCTCTGCCACAGCTGCCTGCCAGAGGCCAGGGTGGGTGGTGGGACTAACCTCTGTGGCCCACCCCATGGGCTGTGGTAGCCATCCTCCAGTGGCAGCCACGCCCACTTACATCACTGTCACATCACCCTGTGGGCCAAGAACTGAGCAGTTCCCTATGAAACATTTGTCTTTGGCTCACTCCCCTGAATTCCCACTATCAAAATGGATGCAGGTTAGTGCTTACATATTTCTGTGCCTGGTTTTAAAGTGGAAAGAGCATTAAAAATCTGAGAGGCTTTCAGAGGCAATTAAAGCAGCTAAATGGCTGTAATGACAAGGGACTTCTGGGGGCTCTTTAGGTATAACAGCACTATTTTCTTCAGAACAATAGTTATCACATATTTAATCATGTTCAATTCATACTGGATCCCTGCATATTTCCAGCTGCCTTTTCCTTTGGCAGTGAGGACAAAGCTCATTAATTTCTTTCATTACACTTCATTAAACCTGGTGAGAGGCTGGATGGCTGTTGAGCATCCATATTCAGAGCATTCTTTGCTCAGATTCAGGCCTGGTTCAGCTGCTGCTGCAAAACGGAGGCTTCCAAGCCCATCAGTCCGTGGAGAATTTAGAAGCTATGGCATCAGAAATAAGAACCGAGAAGGAAGCCTTTATTTTATTTTTTTCACCATGGACTTGTTAAAAAATAGATCAAAAAGGTTTGGAGCCTGCACTGAGACAGAGGAGTGAGTGTAAATGTATTCTCTTGCTTCAGGGCAGCAGAACAGGGGAGTTGTCCTTCCTGCAGCTCTGCAGCCCGTGCCCAGCCTGGGGTTTGGGTGCTGGCCCCAAGCAGGGTAGCACAGGGCCAGGAGCTGGATTTCACACATTCCTCAAGGAACAGGCTTCCAAAATTTCTTCCAATTTTTTGGGCCAGGTGGACCATCAGAGGCAGAGATCTCCTCTCCAGCCAGGTTGTGAGAAGCCCTGGGGCCCATGCCCTGGAGGAGACTGCAGCTGAGTGGCTCTGGTGAAGCTCCTGTGACAACCAATTCCTCCCCAGACCGAGAGAACTCAAGGGAATGCTTTGGACAAAACAGAAACAGATCATTTTGCTAGAAGTTTCTGTTGCAATAAACTGTGTTAAAGAACAGTTTATGAGTAAGTTCACAGCTGCTTCTACTCAGGAGTTGGCTCTCCCAGCTGCTGGGCAGGCAAAGAGGAGGAGAGATGTTTCACAGTCCTGGTGATACTGAGCAAGCAAATGTTGGCTTTGGCAGCAAGTCTATCCTGTAAGCATCCTGTGTGTCTGTTTGTACTGATCCCTGATGGGCCTATGGCTCCCAAGGAGTCACCTTCTCAAGATGACAGTGAGATGGGCAGGGGTTCAACATTGCTGCTCCCTGGGGAGACACGGGGGTGGCAATAGCTCCCACATGGAGCTAAGGCTCTAGATCATACCAGTTCTTCTCCTTTTGCCAGCACACAATAAACCAGCCAAGGTAAAGCTCTGCTCTGGAGGGATTTGAGATAAACAGTTTGTGGTAACACATGCTGAAAAGGTTTAGAAGTGCCCAGGTCACCTGCTAGCAGGGCTCAGCTTAGGGACAGGATAAGAGTACAGGTGTATCTGCTCTTAGTTTTCTATAGGAAACTGAAATAAACCCTCCACAACACACCCACTCCACTTCAATCCACGCTGCCAGTATGAGTCCAGAGCATGTTTACCATTATGGAGGAACTGATGTCTCAGGGTTTGTATGGGGCAAACATAACCACCTAATATTGCCTGTTGTAATGTTAAGTGCCTGCAGTTCTAACATCGCCCTTCCTAGACCCACATTAGCTGTGATGCTGTTTTCAGAAGTTGACCCAGATGATCACTCACCTGTTTGGAGGTACCCACCCTCTTCTAGGCTGTCCCAGGTGACTGCAAAGCAGAGTTACTCCTTACATGACAGCAGCAGGCTGTTTGCAGCAGAGCTGGGGTGGAATCTCTGCACTGGTGCTGTCACCCTGCTTGGTGACAGGCTCAGCCCAGAGCATGCAGTGCAGCTCACAGTCCTGTGTGTTCCCACTTGGGCTGCACATGGGAGATGTGTGAGTCAAAAGCCTTTTGGATGTGTGCATGGAAATATAAATGCCATTTTATATTTTTTCTCAAAACATAAAAGTTAATGTGGAATTAACCCCTGGCACCCTATGAAACAACTGACACTTGTGATTGTCAGCAAAAGGGTTTGCCTGGCTCTCAGCTGTGCTGCAGCCTCTGTTTCTGAACTAAATTGCTTTGTGATACAGACTGGCTGTGCAGGCTGTTTGCAATTCACTGGCAAATTTATAGGAGCGATTGCAAGTCTGGAGCAATGTGCTCACAGAGTTCCTGGGGAGAGGAATTCAGGCACAACAGCTGTGGAAACAAGGGGATCTGCAAATTCAAATTGGAATGGATCTGAGCAGAAGTGAAAGCTGGCCTCCAGCTTATCCCTATATGGAAGCTAGGATATGGAGTGTAGGAATAAGGCAATTTGCACACACAGTGTACCAGATCTGCTGCAGCATTAATCTTGGAAACAATTGATGAATTCAGTCACTGACTATTCTGGGATGTGAGAACAGCAGGACTGGACATGTGAGTATCATGTAGGTATTGCTGAAATTAGCATTCACGGTGTTAAAAATCAAAGACAGTCTGCCTTGGAAATCAATTTGTTTGTTAATTTGCTCCTATTTTGGGGAAAGTAAATCTGTTGCTCAGCAGGTGCTTTATAAACCTGATGTCCTTTGGTGTTCTTGAGAGACAGGCCTGATTCTACATTCTTTAACTGTGGAGGGATGGGTGAGATGAAACAGTCACCTATCCCTGAAGACTCCCAGGGAAAGAATAAAGAAGGAGTTCAGTCTGTTGGGAGCAAAAGAGAACAGGTCTGGTCAAAGATCCTGCTCCATAAGGGACAGATCAACGTGTGCCATGTGTGTCTGGTAGGCTCAGGAGAGATAAATTCTCTCTTATCCGTTGTCATCAAGTATAACAAAGAAATTACTGTCTTACCTTTTGTGATGTTGATACGGGAAGTTTTGCAGCCTGTCACTATAAGGAGCTGACAGAAAACCCTACCTGTAAGGTCTTTCCTATTGGATCCTTATTTTTCATGTTTAGGTGTTATTTTCTTCAAAGAGAAGCTTTCCCTTTAGAAGCAAGCAAAGAGCAGCCATCTTCTTTGGGTCAGGCTGACATGCTTTGTGAGAAGCAAACAAGCAGAAAGCAAAGCTGAGGATGGCAGTGAGCCTGGTGTGTCCCTCCTGCCGCTGGAGGCTGTCCTGGAACGGCAGTGGCCATGCGTGGGAAGCAGGTCAGGTCACCGGTGAGAAAGTTCTGCTTCCCTTGTCAGTGCCAAATACAGAAAGGTCCTAAGCCAAACATAACATGTGGGAGAGGCCACTGGTTTGAGCCCTCTTGTAGGCTCAGTCTCTCCAGTTTTGGTGTTTTCCCCCAGTCCTTTCGCAGATCTCTGGGTCGTCGTGGCTGGGAGGCAGTGAGTGAGTGATAGACAGCCAGATTTCAGTGGGCTGATCAAAACAGAGCCTCTTGAACAAGGCTGACCATGAGGATTGTGTCTAGTCCAATTTACAGACTCTCAGTTTGCTAAACAACAAAAAGCCCTGCAGTGTGAGAGCAGGGTGTGTGGGGAGGCTGCTGGGCACTGCGGTGCTCCAGTGCAGTGGGAGGAACTCGTTAGTGCTGCATTGACCTGGAACAATCTTTAACCTTCTTTCATCAATACTCTGTGAATATACAATTCCGTAGGTTACAGCTGGCATGTGATCCCAAAAACCTTCCTTTCTGATTCCTTTTCTCAATGCAAAAGAAATAATTTGTCTTGGGAAGACTTGCTGTTTGATTTAATCTGCTCTGTGGCCCAGATGTTTGATATCATGCTGCTATAAACCTGTGTACAGATGCTTATGGCCACACACACATTTCTGCACCAGCCCAGTGCACAGTACCTTACTCTAAGAGTTACAGCCACACGGGAGGGGCCTCATGTGTGGTACAGCTGTGCAGGAGGGGCCTCGTTTCCCACTGCCAGCCCCAGGCTGGTGGCCAGCTCCTGTCCTGCACCAAGGACTTGCCACACTCTTACACATGCAGGTCTGTGTAAAGCTGAGCAGCTGGGACCATTTTCCACTTCTCAAGGCATGTCATGCCTTTAAGTTGTAATCTCTGTTGTTTCACAAGGAAAAAACCAAGGAACATTTCCTGACTGACAGGTTTTGCTTCAATAAAGCTGAAAAGCTGAAACAGGCATTCCAGCTCTGCTTTCTGAAAACCTGAGGGAGATTTATGCCAAAACTCCC